GCTTAAGTAGCGAAAGCTGTCTGTCCCGTCAGAACCGTGCTCAAGACACCCTTGTCCACCAACTCGTTGATCATGTTGAACAAAACAAAGTCGCAGCCCCTCTTGGCCACAAGGTTTACAGTCACCGGCATGATCTCCTCCTGGAAGGTGACATTGCTAAAGTAGGAGACCTGACCAATGGGCACAGTGAAATCCGCATCGCCAAAATACGAGGCCGAAGTCGATGCTGCCTTAGCGGTGGTGGGGTTGACAGGGAGGGTTGCCCCCGGACCGCTGTTGAGATCTTGCTCTCTGAACGTAGGAATACCGCCAGTTCCGACGTCGTAGACGAAAATCGACTCTGAGCAAGAATCATTGGTGGAGAAGAGAGTTTTCTCGTGCCAGGCAGCCGCGTCACGGGTTCTGTTGGCCATTGCGGACTTGTACGCGTTGTCGTCAACAGTGAGACTGTGAAAGACCTCACGGTATGGGTTGTCAAGAGCCGGAAAGCTAGGGCTGTACTTAGCCAGCAAGGGCTCTGAAGTTTGCCGGATCAGATCATGAGTCCAGAGAATGAACAAATCGCCGAGGACTTGCGAGATGGGCCGTCCTGTGGTCTCCTCGATCGTTTCCGTTAGGTTGAAATTCTCCACTGCGGCGCCTAAAGCTGCAGATGCGTCGCTCAAGAACTTTTGGAGAATAGTCTCAGCGGCAGCATTCTTCAGCGGCAAATGGTCGACGGGATAGAGAATACGCTTGGGAAACGTGCGGTCGTCGGGCACCGACAACTCAGGCAGGCCATTCAGCGAGGTGGCCTCGTGGAGTGACGGATCGTACCACGCCTTGGCGAAGGCTGCCCACTTGGCAGGATCGCGAGCAAATAATCCGGCAGTGTCGGCATTGAAAGCGTTGGTAATAACATTCTCCATGACAATCATACCCTGTGAGGGCCTATTACCAAAGGTACCAGAAAACGCAGCAGGCTGTCGGACCGAGAGACCAGTATCAGTACCAACGGCAAAGTCAAGCCAGTCATACGCGGCAACGGAGCAGCCAGCTCCAGCAGATGAGCCAGAGCAGCTCAAAAAGGTGTCGCCACGGGGATTGCGAGGATAAGAGGCGTCGTTCCAGTCCCAGGGGTTCTCCGGAGAAGCAAACTGAGCTGTCTTCTGCTTGCCCACGATGACTCCGCCGACATTGATAATCTGCTGGAGCGCTGGCGCAGTCTTGCTCGCGACATCGTTGACCGCAGCGTACGCTCGACTACCCGCAGTAGTCTGAATACCTTCCAGATCATAGATGTCCTTGACTCCAATACGCTGGCCTGCCAACGGGCTGTCATCCTCGGTACTGTAAAGTCTCGAGGGGACAGGAATCATGGGATATCCCCAGTCGGCCTCCGCCTGCGTCAAAGACTTGTAACTGCCATTCGACTCGTACACGCCAGTCACGAACGTTCTGTACGTGTCGACATACATGCGGTGAACCTTGCTGAGCCAAAGGCTTTCTCCGTCGGTAATGGCGAAGAAGGGGCAGGGGGTGAGAGTTGAGCTACCACAAGTGTTGGGCCCATCCGCGCCGGCATAGATGATAGTTGACCCGAGTCCTTCGAGATAAGTGATCACCGAATCATTGAGGTCATCGGAACCACTAGCGCTGACAACGACGTTTCCGAGGAAGTCCTGAGTGAAGACGTCGTCCTCTCCCAAGGCTTTTTCAACAGCCTGCTGAAGCTGCTCACCGGTACTTTCAACGGAAAGAGCGGATATATATGTGATAGGTCCTTGAGAGGGGTCCGAAACACAAGGAATAGATGACACAGGACCAGAGGTGACGGCGAGATACTGATTGTCTCCAACACGGAAGACTTGGTCCTGGTCGTCTGAAACGAAGTTTGATTGAAAAAGAGTGCCATTAAGGGGTGTGAGACCGTGTACTGGCATGAAAGCGACGGCTGCAGTAAGCCCGAGCGGCAAAAGAACGCTTTTCATCTTCATGATAAGGGCTGTGATGGCCATTGAATGCTGAGAGAATGATGCTGCAAAAGAACACTCTTGACCGTCTCGTCCGGATGTGCTTTTATAACATAATTATAGACGCTTAAAATCAATGAGCTCTCTCTGGTCATCCCAAAAAAATGAAGCAAACAGGTGATACTTCCAGGTTGACAAAATTTGCCATCACCTGCAGCTGGGGATATTGAGACTGAGAGCCCAAAGTGGCGTCGTTCCACAACGCGTTCCACAAGGCATTCCACAACGCGTTTTCCAGCGCGTTCCACGCGATAGTTTTCCTGCTTCCATGGATATCCTTCCACAAAGTGAGGGAATTAGAATTCAACTTACCCATCGTGATGGACATCGGTCTTACTACCTTGTATCACTGGATTCTACCCGATGCTAACGACAAAAAGCCCGCAATCAACACCACCGTAGTCGTCCTGGCTATGGGGACAGCTTCGAGGCATGCGGAGACAACTAGACTGAATTACTGCTAGCTCTGTGTTGTTGCCGGAGCTTGCCCTGAAAGGTATCTGGTGTCGAAGACTTGCATTCGAGGCACGTTGTGTGTCCCCACCCCCGCCGCCTTCAGCGATGCGCGCGGATGACAAGCTTTGAATTGGACCCTGATCTCTCATGTTCGCATGGGCGCCATGTAGAGTCGCTCCACTTCAAGAACTTTCTCATCAATTCCAGGGGCATAGCGGTGGGGCACATGATCGATGTCTTGATTGATGAGGCGGGCTGATTGGCGATAATATCCGAGAATTACCACGCGAATCCGCCGAAGATGTTCGTCGTTCATCGTCCAACCAGCCCCCATTTCAGGATCGCATCTTACGAATCAATATTGGCGATTGGGCTATTGTCTGTCTAGACCCTCAGGTACCAAACGAAGTCAAAACTTTCGCGGCAGCATCAGGGGACAACCAAGGCAGGACATGTGGCTATCCTTGTAAGGCACGGCGCCAAGCTGTCAAAATAACCATGTCTAGTGGAGATCACGGAAAGGGCCTCACGGAAGGGGCCGCTGCATGGACCCATCAGTGACCTACCCTGTTCCCCTGGATCCGCTCTCTACAGCGGCAGCAATCTAGCCAGACGACAAGGGCTGTCAGGGGCAAGTAGACTTTCTGAGTCAGTGGCATATGCCAGTTTGGTTGTTGAAATCGTAAGAAAATCATGCAGAGTGAATCTGATGAGTGATAACAATTGCAACTTTTTGCAACCCTTCCTCACGAGGCACTTGCACCCTTCCACAAGCATTGGGAAACTCCGCGCTATTGTTGAGCAAATTATCAGTTCACGACCCATCGAATGACTCGGCATACGTGATCCAGTCTATTCCCTTGTTTGCTATGCTCAGCCTCATAGTGAGCTTCAGTTGCCGCTGGATTCGAATTTCGCCAACATTGGTTGTCACGACCGGGACTATCAGCTTATGTATCGCATTCGTCTCTGAACGATTTGTACATCTGCTTCTAGCCTTCAACGAGCACAATGCCGTCTAGTATTGGTAACTCAAAATCACCACCAAGGGCTCTTTTCTTGAGTTTCCGAACTTCGGAAAGGATGTGCGTGTGATCACGAACGAATTGTACTTTTTATGCTTGATAGTTGCATAACTGTAACGCCTAGACGGAACTTCACGTCCTCTGTCGTGCTCCCTGTCCCAGGCTTTCCCAGCCCGATCTCCCTTGTGGACCACCTATTTAGAACATTCTCCACTGAGGGATTGTTTCAACTTGGGATGGCTTTTAGCGTGGGGTGGAGGAGAGCACAGGCGCGCAATGAGTTGGGATGAACTGTCATATTCGGAGTTTGTTAGAGTGGGGGTGAAGCGACGAATTCGGTAGGTTCCTGGCCGTTTGCCATGCGTCTTGTCAGACCTCGCGGGCCGCTTGCCCCTATTCCTAAATCGACTCAATTTTCAATTTTTTCACATCCATAATTCTTTAATGTTGCATCGACAATGCCACCTCTATTCAAACAACCATAAGGTATACAGCCAGTTCGTAGAATGCGAGAAGGAACCGCTACCGAGCAGAGTCGTTAGTTGTGTCCCGATGGCGAATTTAGGCTCTGTTCCAACCTGACCTTACTTCATCTCCTATGCACAACCTGGTGTTTCTCTCTCGATTCAGTAATCAACACATGCTATTGGGCTGTACATCAGCCATCTCAATGACGTTCAAATGCTGAGACTCGGATTTGCTACTATGCCAATGGAATTATCGATTATGCAAGGAACTAGAAGGTGAACTCTCCAAGAGTGTGTCATATGCTCAACTACGCAAACCCCTTGCACTTTTAGATAATCCTGGATATGAGGAGGGCACCCCTCGCCACTTCAGACAGGCCTTCATCTGAGTTGAGAGCTTCTGCGCAGCATTGGCTGACTCGAATCCAAATCCTACCCCAAAGAGCTCTCATCACTTCTCACCGGGACCATGTAAGTGTTTGTTAACATCCATTTGGGCTCTGCCCACACAAGAAGCATTTCTCGATGAGTGATCTTGTTCAAGAGTCGGTTCGTCACTGCATTGTCACAAACTCTATTCAAAGCTCGAAATCCCTCGTACGACAAAACCTTGGAAATTCTGAGCGCCGTCGAGCAGAAAAATGACCAAGTCAGTGGAGACATGGCTGCCTTCCAAGGAAGTCCGCACGGTGAAAGGAAGTTGGGCAGCCAAGGAGCAAGACGGATGCCCTCGCGCGCTGCAGGATTTTCTCCCGCGCCTGCAACATCCTGCCTCTGCGAACACACTCGAGATGCATACCGTTGTTGCAATCCTACGGCACAGAGTCGTATCCGGCGGTAAACTCGGCATCAAGATGATTGAGCTCACTATTTTTCTATTTTGTTGAGAACATCGGGGCTGAAGAACGACACAACATCGATGTATAAGAGGTAGGTATTTCCCTCTTCATCGAGAGAATCTTTTGGAAGACACCACGCTCGCTCAGTCTCAGACCTTCTTTCAAAAACTCATAGATAACAATCGATTCACTCTTTTCAAAATGATCCCCTCTTTCAACTACAAGAAGAACGCAGCCTACGCGCCTCTCACCGTCCGTGAGACTCCCTCTACCAACAAAAAGACCTCGTTTTCTCAGCTGGCCAAGAGACAATCAACCACTCCCACCGAGCAGAAAGCCCGCCCTCAGGCTTGGGTCGACACCCCTCAGCTGATCTACTCGGCTTGGCCTCAGGCTGCTGGCGACATTAACCAGCCCCTGGGCACGCTCCCCTCAGACTTCAAGATCGGTCTCGTCGGAGCGGGTATCACTAACGTGGTTCTCGCTTTCAACTTGGCCAAGGCTGGCGCCGATGTTACCTTGATCGAGGCGACTGATTCTGTTGGAGGTCGGCTCCGTTCCCTCCCAACTCCTGATGGGGTCAACGTCGCTGAGATGGGCGCCATGCGCTTCCCGCCCTCGGAGGACCTGCTCTACTACTACGCCAATGCCTTCAACTACACTTTCATTCAGAACTTCCCCGACCCTGGCAAGGTACCTACCATTGTCTTCTACGAGAACAATACCACTGACTGGGTTGACTCGAACACTCCCCCCTCTGGATTTGAGAAGGTCAACAACGGCTGGATCAAACTCATCTCTGGTGGCCTGACCAAGGGCGGTTCCTCTGCTCTGACGGCGGCCTCTAAGATGACCGAGTGGCTCAGCTCTTCAGATGCTACCACCCGAGCCCAGGCAGTCCCTGAGTGGCAGAAGTACCTGGATAACTTTGGAGACGACAGCTTCTATTCGGCTCTCCAGCGCATCTTTGGTGAGAACCACGAGTGGGACGTCCCAGGAGGCGAGGTCTGGACCGAGGATGACTTCACGCGCTTTGGAACCTTGGGCATTGGCTCTGGCGGCTTCGGTGCTGTGTACACCTCTGGCTTCAACTCCGTCTTCCGTCTCGTGGTCAATGGTCTTGAATCAGACCAGGCGGTCTTTGCGAAGAACACCACCAGCGGTCTCCAGCCAGCCGGCATCCGTGATCTCGCCACCACAATCTGGGACAAGGCCACAGAGCTTGGGGTCAAGACCAAGTTCTCTACTGTGGCTGAAGTTACAAGCGGTGGTGGAGACCCTCTGGGCGGACTTGCCGTCGGCGTCCGGGAGACCACGTCGTCTGGCACCACGGACACCGAGTATGACCTTGTCATCGTCGGAACCAGCAACAGAGCCATGACCTACGCTTTTACTCCAGTCTCGGAGACCACTGAGGACTCCATTCTTTCGAACGAAGTTCAGCGGGGTATCAACGACCTGCACATGACGGCTTCTTCCAAGCTGTTCATTCGCACCAAGAAGTTCTGGGAAAACCAGCCTGCTGGATTTCCTCGTGTCATTCTTTCGGACACCAACCTGCCCCAGACCTACACCCTCGACTACGGTCATCCTGACTACGGTATGGTCCTTGTCACCTATGCCTGGGAGGACCTTTCTCTGCAGATGATGGCCATCTCGGACCCTAAGGAGCTTCTGGCAGACCTCAAGACCCAAGTTGCCAGAATCATGCAGGAAACCGACTACGCCCAGTACGCCGACTACCTCACTCCCGTCACCGATGACGACCTCTACCTCATTCACTGGCCTCTTGATCGCTACTCCTACGGCGCCTTCTCCCTTGGACTGCCGGGACAGGACGACGATATCTCGGCCATGTTCTACGACTACGAGAAGTTTTCCATCAACAACCAGAGCTCTCGCGTTCTCATCAACAGCGACTGCACCTCCTTCCTCGGTGGATGGGTCGATGGTGGCTTGCAGCCTGCCCATAACACCCTCTCGGCTGTCTTTGAACAGTTTGGATCTTTGAACCCTTTGGCAGCTTCCTTGGCCCCATCCGCTCTTCTCAACTCTTCTTTGTACCAGTACTGATCATCTTTTTCATGACCATGCTGAGATCCTCGATGTCTTTCTTTCTTCAACGACCTTTTGACTTCTACCACTCATCTTTTTGGACCGTATTTTGAATTGAATTCCGTAGCTCAATGAGAAAATCTTGTCTTCCGAACCAACCACCTGCTTTGTGTATAACATTATGACCCCATATTGGTATTGCCAGACAAAAAACATACTGCCAGCTTGCAATTTGTGACTTTGAGTATAAATTGAGCAGGACTGAGTCAACTATCCAGTCCAGCTCTTTCCTTCCTGCACGCTTACCCTGGGTATACTTCTTCTGCACATACACAAAAGGGGCACACGTGGCGGGGAGATCAACGGAAAGACGAACAAATCAGGCAGGAGATGACGGGCGCGGACCACCTCCTTCTCGACAGATGACCAGCGCTAAACACTGCCAAATTCAACGTCACACAAACAACCAACACCGAACTCCAGCCTCAACATCGTCTTTCGGGAGCAATTTAGCTCCGCCGGAGCACCATCTGGCTGCATTCTCACTGTGACAACATGGAATAAACCGTACATTGTCCCCCAAAGACCGTCGGTAATGACAAGCTCGAAAGATCCACGCATCTTCCGAATTGGTCATGGTCTGCTGTACAGCCGACCACGTCAACGGCTCGAAGCCCAACGATGTCTGCCAAGCACCGGACGAACCCCGCATCACTTCTGCCCGAACCAAGCACGACGGTCTTTTCCTCATTGGCTCTGGACTTTTATCGGTCAATGCATCGCATACCGGTTTGGCTGACTGGCTGGAATGCAATCCATTTGGGCCTGTCACAGTCGATTGAGGCTTGCCAGCGGTCACCGATTTCCCGATTTCGTCCTGTGGTACTAAGGACAGCAATGTGTCGAAGTCATACACTGGATGACGGGCTCTGCAGGCGATATTCCGACAGCCTAGACTAAGATCCCCGCCGCCTATCAGACAGACAGGTAGAAGCAATCGTCGGCACTACCTCACCGAAGCTGCGCAATTAGGGCTTGAGAAATCAACACCCGACGGCTGAGGTAGGTAAAGATGCACGTGTTGAGTTTTCCAGCTACGGCGCTCGATTCTCGTCTGTGTTCTCATCACTTATAAGCCAACATTCCCTGCCCCAACTCAAGCTTGCTTCAACCCCTGTTTCTATCCAAGCCCGAGTGCTTAATCCAAAAGAATCCACAGATCAACCGTATCGATTCAACGGCATCACAATGCTGCATCTTTCCCACGCAGTACGAGCCTCCACACCCACACGTTTGGAAGTCTCCATCAAATGCCTGCCGGGGAGGTCCTCCCAACCGGCAGAGCACCCAGTTGGCTCGCGCTCGCATAGGGGGGGCAAAGCCAGAAGTTGCCAGACATCCTCATCTGATTATCAAAGCTCAGGGTGTCTGTCAACCTCCCACCCTAGACAGCGTGGGCGTGGGGAACCGTCACACAAGCTGACCAATATCTTTTGGAAAGCCGTCTGGTCTGCGAATGGACTTTGCGGCTGCTTTGTCCCGGAACCAAGACGGTTGGCGGCACTAACGTCATTGGTCAGAGTACTGAGACATCTCCCTTTGAGTCTGTCATTGACTCATTTGTACCTTAGGTAGTGTAGCAGGTTTGACGTACCCAAGGAAATTCCGCAGCGCCGAGTATCCCGCTGTCGAAGGCTTTGACGACTGAAATCATCGCATTTCCGAGCTCCCGAGCAACGCTGCTACCTTCTCATTGGCCTGGGAAATAGAAGTCCAGCATGTGGAAGTGGGAGCCCGGCTTCCATTGGCTACCATTCATGCAAGTCATCTCCATACTCTAGGTTCGAAAGAGGAAAACCCACACACTCTTTCCCAGCATGGGAGACAGCGCACCCCTGTGGCCAACTCAAGCTACTGCAATCAGTATCGACCATGACGACGTACTTGCAGAGAAACGTGGAGGTGCCGAACCTTGGAATTCACCAGATAACGACAGCCATGTCATTGAAGCTGTCTCCCCCATGCGGCAGCAATCGGCGGGATTATCGCAAACATTTATTCGTTGGGTTGAAGCGGCATAACTTCTGGAAAAGCCGAGGAGCCGCCAACGGCATTCCAGCATTGGTGGTCGCATATGGCCTCGGAATGTAGTCGAGCCATCGACAAACCACCGGGCATCATGCAGTCATTCTTCACCGAGACAACGTGGCGGCATGCAAGCCAAACAACATGTGACCACGGGGTGCCCGCCTCTGCTGTCATCGGGGACTACGAACAGTATCAGAGAAGCCATGATGATCTTCTGCAAAACAAGCATGTCTGCAGGGCGTCAACGCTGAAGAGTTGGGCTCGGATACTGCGTTGACTCTGAGCAGCCTCCAATCAGACGAAATACCGTCGAGGCGGTCGACGACGTTGTCCAAGCTGGCCTGAACGAGATATGCCAGGCTGTTGCTTTGGGCAAACGCAGCCTGGTTCGGGCCCTTAAGTGTGATGGTTGCATAAGAGGCGAAGGCAATCTTTCTCTGTCATTTCTGATCAGATCAGCCAACATATCGCGTGGCAGTCGCGGCTGTCGAACGGCTCAAACTCAGCCCCAAGGGTCCATCCACACCTTCTCCTACATAGCTTGATCCAACGTACGAGAGTCTACGAACTACACTGCGACGAAGATGTCTTTTTTGTTACCGGTAGGACGCAAGCTCTGTTGGACAGACATTCCAAGGCTGACAACGACAGAGGTCCCATCGACAGGGCAGAAAGAGCGAGAAGAGACCGAAGCCAAAAGAGAGCAGTAGTAAGAAGGGAAAAGCACCAGGCCAGACACAATTCAGCTTTGTCTTTGTCGTCAACGAACTGTCATTCATCGAAGAAGGAAATGGTGCCGTTCCAAACGTAGATCGATGGGGGAACCCGCTTCCACCAAACACATCCCAAAGCTACGGACCTGAGACGCCCGGCAAGATATGGCGATACAGAAACGGATCCATCAGTCTAGCAGGCGAAGGCTTCAGTTGGTATCGTGAAAGCCCCGGGCTGGAGGGAGCCATATGGGGTCCTGTGGACATGACCACCGATGACGGGCAGAGGTACTGGGGTACCGGACCCCTCGAAGAACACAGCACATTTAGCGTCTTCAACTGTTGGCGTTTCCTCCCCTGCCTCTACGCAGACGTCGATGTGACGACTGTTGGAGAGATGGGTGTGGATAACCGTTGGTTTCCACTCGAGTTCTCTCGAGATAGTCATGATCCAGGGGCAACTCGTATCCATGGTTGCATTGATACGTATCGGCACGTCGCGGGGCAGAACCCCTCATGGATACCCACCCTTCTGCCGCCGACCTACGCAGCTCTAGTTTCATCGGGTCCGAGATCGACAGGTCTAGGTGGCTGTTTACCGATCATACTTGCTTTGATCGCTCTCACCACAAGGCCAAGGCATGCGGACGACGCATTCAGTGGCGGTTTGTTCAATGGTCATTGCTGGGCAGGCCAACGGCATCATCGTGCCGGTAGGTTGTCTCGCGTTCCATAGGAATTCAAACCAGACGAGGCTAATATCAGAGATTGCCAGACCCTCCACCTACGGGCCCCGTTCGAGGAGTCCTGGTGCAGGTGTGTTGTGATCCGCTCAACCCTTACGGGTCAACCTTCGATGACATCGATTACTTCGAAGAGCATGGGAAACTGATCGTTGAGTGAACGAGGACGGGGAACCATTGGCCAAGGAAGATTCTGGCTTTCATCATTGCAGATGAGCCTTTCACGACTTGATGACCTTTCTTTGCTCAACAGATGGGACACTCAACGACAGTACACTTACATTCTAGGGGCGCAGAGCGATTGACAATTACCATGCCTGATTTTCCATCTCAGGGGTATAGCATTCAGCATTTCAGAACTTGATATATTTCATGCCTCCAACATCATGCGTCCCTCCTGTTCTATAGACTCCTGGTCATGGCGACCCTTTACTCAGGGTCCTTGCGTGAGCCTCCGACGTGTCTACCATCGCCCAGCAATCGAAGATGCATGACCCAATCCACCTTTTCGCTCAGTAAAATAGCTTGGGTTGTAATTAACGACCCCCTTTCCAAACCGCAAATCATATCCTCAACGTTGTGTCTTACACCGCGTCGGGCAGTCTCACGGCTATGTCTCCTGATTGAGTGATGTATCTGACCCATGGCAACGAGGGATATTGCAACTATGTATTGTTAGTTGTGTGCAATGGACGGAGGGGAATGGGAGTAAACGTACCTTGGGCTCTGTAATCTTGAGGTACCGCACTTGAATACCACTTGTCGTGAAATAGGGGATCTCAAACTTGACCTGGATCGGCCTCTTCGCGCCCTTGCCGGGAGCGCCAACACCACCCATACTGCCACCGAAACCACCAGTCATACCACCGCCGTGCTCGTCGTCGCCTCTAACAGATGGGAGACCGAGCTCTGCCCTCATCAAGAATTCCTTGTTACCACCAAACTGCTTAATCTTCCACACAATGGCACTCTGCTCAGGGGCATAGTGGACAGCACCAATGTTGGTCCTGAAGCGCGGGGTATCGGCGTCGTCAGGTACGGGAACGATAATTTCGACGTTGTTTGCCGTACTCCTCCGCTTGAACTGGGCCTTTGCCTTGAGCATGTACTCGATACGCGATCCGCTGTGGCTCTCGACGACGCACTCGACCCAGATCAGGGGCTTGACCTGGGTGTTGAGACGGTAGCTCATGAGCTCGAATTCGCCGTCGGGCGGGATAAAGGAGATTGTCCTGTCGTTCTCAAAACGTGAGAGGCGCACGCACTGGTGGAACTTGACGTCCTCCATCTCGATGGCCTTGCCGCGCGTCGTGCGGCCTGTCGTCTCAAACATGACCTTGTCATTGAGGCCGAGGCGCAGCTCGGGCATACCGGAGAGGTAGCACTTCATCTTGATCGCGCCGAGGATCTCGGATCGGAGGACGTTGCCGTTGGCGCTGACGAGGAGGTTCAGGGACTCGACGACGTCGAGGAAGACCTCGTTCTTGCGGTAGCGGATACCCTCGGAACGCCAAGAGACGGCGTTGGTAACGGCGATGGGCGGGCGGGCCTGGATCTCGAGCTTGTGCGACTCCTGGGTGATGTACTCCTGCAGGATCTTGGATTCCGTGGTCTGGGGGTAGCCGAAGTCCATCATCTCGTCGAGCAGTTCGTAGATGATGACAAAGTTGTCGCGGATGGATTCCTCCTCGAGGGCCTTGAAGTATTCCGTGAAGACTTCCACGATCTTGTGGAGGAAGAGGAGGATCTCGGCGGCGTTCGTGTTTCGTTTCGTGAGGGCGAGGAGGTAGAGGTTGTTGTGGCGGATGTAGAGATACTGGCGGTCCTTGGTCAGTCGAAGTTCGGAAAGACTAGGCCGTGGGCATCTATACGTACGTTGATACCCTCGTGGGAGAAGCATGGAGGCACAGCCGATGACTCTTCTTCGGCTTCACTAAGAAGGATAGGGAACTTCTCGACAGCTGACATGGGAATGTCACCGCGATAGTTTCGGGCAAGGAGGGTCTGTCGCACGTCTCGTCAGCAAATTTTGGTCCATCAGCATGCAGGCCAGCTTCGCCATGCGCACCTTGCCCTTCAAATCGAGAAAAAAGACGGCGGAAGCCATGGTGGGTGTGATGCCAAGGCGGGGGACGGATCGAGGGGCAGTCGCGGAGCGAGGCGGTGGATGTCAATTGGCACGCTGGCCAGACGAACTACGGCAGAAGAAAGACTCTTATCATGCAATTCGTTCAACTAAGCAGCTCGGCGATGTGTCAAGACGTTGGGAGAGGCAGTGGTTGGCAAGGTGTCATCAATTCGCGGGTCGTGTCGTGGTGACCGCGTGCAGGAAGCTGGCGACATTGAAACCACGATGTCTCCTTGGAAGGTACGGTGCACGGGCCAAGCAATGACAGCCTTACGTCTTGGGCAATAGGTGGCTGCGGTCGCTGAGGCGCATGTCTGTGGCGTAAGCAGGCAGAAGTCGGGCGGCTGCCTTAGGTAATCTTGCGGAGGCGACTGAAAGTGCTAGATCACGTGCTTTGACCGGACTGTGGGGCAGGCGGCTGGCCTACAACCTAAAATTTTCCTCACGGCCATTGCTTGTTGCTTTCTTCTCTTCTTCACCGCGTCCATTAGACAGTGCAGCGCATTATTCAAACCACGATTGGACTGGCATTCTGCTGGGATCAGTCGTGTCGTCGTTGATGTGATAACTGCGATTTCGAGACGCGTAGAGGAAAACTAATTGGTTCCATAAGAACTGCCCGCGTACCGTATTTCTTGCTTTCGGGCAAAAAATGCGACTGTTGCTTGGGCGGTGTCAGAGGGGCCAGACATGCTACGCCGGAATTTTCGTATTCGCCTTGTTTTTGACGCTTATGTTTTCCCTTGACATGATTTGCCGACGACGAGGTGTTGCCTCTCTGCGACAGACAGCTGCCAGATGACCCGTCGCAAGAACCCAACCTGTACGGCCAGAAAGGTTCTATCACAAGCGCGGCTTCCATGCATGGAATGCGGCTTTTCAGCCAGTTCCTGACGCCGAGGCTCACGAGCTGAAGGCTGGAGCTCCGCTGACAGGTGCCCTTCTGCCTTTTGGCTCGGAGCTAGCAGAAGGGTCCTGCTTGAGTTTCTGCGGCTGGCCTCCTGTGTAAACCCTCATGCAATGTCCTCCTGACAGCCATAAGGCAAGGGGAAGGTTGCGGTGGGCGACGCCCGACCCGCTGGCAGATCTTAGATGTTGGCTGCTACCCATGTGTGTGTATGTGTGCCGCACTTTTTGCAGGAGTACTGCGGTATACTTGGATAGAGGCTGCCGTGGGCATCACACCCCCCTCCCTCATCATCATTATTATCCAGCCACGCAGAGTTAGACGCCCCCCAATCTTGAGCCGGAGCCAACCTGCGAGTTTATCTTGTGAAAATCGGGAGGACGGGCAGTTTGGGAGCTCGTGCTCTGATGGGAAACGCGGCCGATCCACTTGTTCGGGTCTGAGATGTCATCACATGGCCAAAAATCGTGCCGGAAAACTAGTCAGGAGTAGCGGGTAGCAGATGCGCCTGAGTCGCGCATTGCAGTCGAACAACCGAACCGAACACTGAGCAGAAGCCGGATGGCGAGAGCGGTGGGATGAGGGCAGCAGGTAGGAGGCCTTGGAAATGGGGGAGTTTGTTTCCAAACACATGCAATACCAGGGACTCTTGGCGGAGGTGGTCGGGCACCTCAAGCAGGTCTTCTGCCACGGGCCATGGCTCATGGGAGAGTGCTGGCTCCGAGTTCCGTTGTCTCCGACGCTCCGCTGATGGTGGCCTCTATCGAAGCCGGAGTGTGTCCGGATATGCATGTGCGTGCGTGTATCGTGTCTATCTGTATCGTGTGGTGCCAATCAGTTCCCCACACTTGGGACCTGGCAAGGAACCGCAGGGTCAGGTCAGGGCCGTCAGTGGTTCACGAGAAATAAGCCAGTGGCGGGCTCCCAGCGAAACCGAAGGCAATGGGTGGGTTGCGTGAAGGCGACTCTTGCTAGCGGAAGCCGGCGGAGATGGCATTTTGTGTTTGGGAGGAATAAGGTAGGCATGGAAAATCCATGGAAAATAGTCAGTGTTCGGGACGTCAGCGAGAACCGACTGGACCCTTGGGCGGATCTTGACAAAATTGCATGGTCAGTTGATGGTCATCTGGCCCCTCTTTCTCCATTTCTCCAACTCCAAGTCTTTCGCACGTGATATTGCGTGTTGCGATCCGGTGTCGGTACGAGGGATCGAGACACAATGGCTGGGGGGGGGGAAACATCAGACAGTCCAAGGGAACAATAGGGACGGGTGGAGGAAGACAAGGGGAACGATGAGAAGAAAAAAAAAAAAACAGGAAAGTCAGGCTGTCTCCAAGTCTCAACATGGCGTGGGTGTCCCGTCTGGTGGATGGTCCTTCCGTCCATTTTTTACGCTTTCACATGGAAAGAAGGCGTCCGTGCCCGGGGTGACGTAGAGAGAGGCAAGAAACAGACCAATCAACAGACGCGCTGGCCTCTTTTGCGTCTGGGGCCGAATGCCGGCTGGGCGACCGTTGGTGTCCCGTGACGATTGACGGGGACAAGTGTTAGGCGCCGCCGTGGGCAATATATGGGAGCACTAACAGGGCCATTGCTGCACATGCTAAGAGACTTGTTCATCCCGTCCAGTCAGATGCATGTGATGACGGCCCCGAAGAGGTCTGACACGTGCTTCCCCAACTTTGGCCCTGATCTTCTCTTCACCCCTGAGACCATGTACCAACCACTGAACCAGCCCGACCTGTGTCAGGGCACTCCCTCGAGGACGGGCAACGAGGTACTTCCCTGCGGTGCGCTGATAGCAGCGGTTGAAAAAAATAATGGTAGGTAGGAGACTTGCAGAAGGATTCAAGCGATCAACAGCAGCAGCAAATGGGCATCGCCATTATTCCAAAGTTTTCCGCCGCTATTCTCCTGGTGGGCGCGCGTGCATGTGCCTTGAGGGGGCGTAGGTAAGCGGCTAGACACATTATTGTGTTGACCGAGGAAGAAGCAAATAATTCATGCGTGTGGTCGACGCACAAAGATGCGGTCTGCAGCCGTCAGGCCAGAGGTGTCGGCGCATCGTGAGACTGAGACTGGGTGAGACTTTTGGAGACAGACGTTGGGCCACCAACGTGTCGCTCAGCGCTGCTGTTCAGCACTCAGCACTCAGCACCGCCCGCGCCAGGGAGTAATCATCTGTCAGCTGCAACGCGAGGCAAGGTTAGGTTTTGGGGACTCGGGGAGGGGAGGGAAGGGGATGGGGGGTTGCCGCCTGTCTGACGGATGGACTGGGGTTCTGAGTCCTGACAACAAGCTGACTCCCCGAGTTTGAATTTGTTTCTTGGTGTAACCGACTCCCACCCCAACGTCGTCGGCTATTTCTGCGACCTCGTCGGGCGAGCTTGTCATGTCACCTCAGTGGGCAGAAACAACCACTAGGTAGATAGGTAGGTACCTAGTAGGTAGGACGGCAGCCAGCCGGTGCCTCGGACCCTGCAGGCTCCCAGCGAGATGGACAGCTGCTGGTTCTGCTATTGAATTTGCTGCTGCTGCCGCTGCTGTTGCACCAGCGATGCGGACGGGACGCAAGACTGCAGATGGAGGGCGGCTGACCTGTCCACAAAGGGGAACGTGGACGGGCAGTTGGCAGTTGATTGGATGTGCTGGGGGCAGGTTTGGGACCCCCATCACCGTCACTCGGAGGCTGTAAGTGCTGGAATGTGGGCATATGGAGGAGGTCGATCTGACAGAGGGCAGGGTGCTGATGAATTCTCTGAGTCTGAGTCTGAGTCTGACTGGTCCCGCCCTCTGGAGGCGTGTTATCACCCCCACCGAGGATAGAGTGATGAATCAAACAGCTGGGCAGACGAGAGGCGGGCAGAATACCGGAAGAATGTCACCCTCATATGGGTGTTGCAGATGTTGCAGTCGTGGAACTGAGATGGGCTGCATACCTTACCAGAGAGGAGAGTTGGCCATATCGTATCGTATCGTATTCATGCGTAAAATAGGCAACCTCGTCGTCGCTCGTGTCAAAACGAAGGAAGGAATCAGCGACTACGGTATCAAGCACCTGGCACCCACGCACCTACCTCAGTGTCGTGGTGTCGGGTGCCTTTTCATGCTCCCCGCCTCTTGCCTTGCAGTGCGGTCACCAGTGCAGTTGGTTCGTGTTGGGGCAGTCCCGTCCTAAAATGGCGCCTTCCCGGCAGCCGGTACCTTTAGTGCGTTGTTGGTGCCTACCCGGGACAGAAGGAAGGCAGCAGGTGGTCCCACTATCGCGCCTGCCCTCGCTTTCGACTGCCTTGGGGGGCACTTGCCTCGTTTTCCATGAGTGAGTGTGTCGTCGCGCCTGCTCCTGCTCCATATCCGCCGGGTTGGTGCACCTGGGCTGCGGCCGTTCCCCTCTGACCCCCGTCGCCTTCAAGGGCAATTCAATCAATCAGTCAATCAACAGCAGGCCGAGGGCCAGGGCCGGGTTACCAGGTCAGATCCATCAGCTATCTATCAATCATCGAGTCAACCCGTCATCCCTCCCTTCTTTCGTGTTGGTCTCCTCTGCTTGTACATACATCGTGCAAGCCAGGACGGCACCGACCTTGTTTCCCGCCCGCGCGCGCCCACCACACACCACAGACCAGACACAACCGCAGGAACAGAGACCAGTCACCAGAGACACACCACCACCAGCAGGACACCCAGAGAGAGACAGGCCGACAGACAGGCAGACAGACAGACGGATACACCCATCATCGCCATCTCCGTCCCATCTGGACCTGGGGAAAGCATCAACACTACACCATAATCTAAACCAACGCCAACTGTTCACACGTCCCAAATCTGGCGCTACTCGACGGACGGACTCTTCCTTCCCACCCCCATCCCGACCACCACCACCATCACCACCAACCAGCCATCCCGAACCGTCCACACATCCCATCCATCCATCAAGGGCAAAAGGCATCTCAAGCAAGCAACTAAGCAAGCACCCAAGCAAGCATCCGCCATACTCGCCATCACACTCACATCGACAGTCGGGCTCCTCCAGACACCAGACAGACAGGAGGCTCCAGTTGTTCGGCCTGTACCCCGAAACCCCCCATCCATCTCCAGGTCCTGCCGCCCTCCCTTGTCCGCGTGGGAATCCCCTCCGTCGTGTGAATTATCCTTCGCCACTTCTCCCAAACCGTACTACATGAACCTCTGTCGCGCCGCCCGCAGCCACCCTCACCCCTTCTTCTCTCCCTCGCTTCAAATCTGACCCGTCCCGCCGCTGCCCAATCTGCACACGCCCTCCACTCCACGTCGAAGCCAAAGCCTGTGTGTCTGCTGCAAGCACGTTGCAACTTTACCTCGAGGCCAGAAGGACGCAGCGAGCAAGAAAGAGGCTTGCGAAAAAAAAATTCCTCAACAATCTCAATCAAACCAAACGGCGCCGGGCAAGTCGCATCTCCACTCATGCCAGTCCAGAGTTGACCGCTGAGACACCCGCGCGCCGGTCTCGCTCCTGGTCCTCCTCCTCGGCCTGCCTCTCGAGTCTTTTCCTTCTCCCTTCTCTGCCGCCTGGGGAATTTTCCAGCTGGGGGAACCTGAGCAGAGTCCGGCCAGCCCAGCCTAGCCCGCAGGCTCTTCTCCGCTGACCCCTCCCCGCCAAAATATTCGACGCGCCGTCCGAATATACTTTGCGAGATGGACAAGAGTCTGAGCCAGAGCATGAGCATGAGCATGAGCCAAAATCACATGCTGCACGGGCCCAACTCTGGCGACCGCCAGCTGCCGCCATCTTCCTCGTCTGTCCCTCCTCTGCCCACTACGCACACGCACAACCACCACCACGACCACCACCCTCACACGCACTCTCGTCCTCGCCCTCACGCTACTACTTTTTCTCCTGCCGCTACCACCATTTCAGCTGCCGGCACCTCCTCAACTACCGCCGCTTCCTCTCCAGCAGAGCCTTCATCTTCCAAGACCAAGCACAATCTCTCTCACGCTCGCTACGACCCGACACACCTCCCGTCCCAGCTGCCTTCATATGCTCCTCCGAGCTATGCGCATGCCCAGTCCCACGATCCCAACTTGCTGAGGTTTCCCGACGCTCCGACTACTGAGCTTGCACCCATCCTTCCCGCCGCCAAACATAATGATAACGTCGGCCACAACCTCCCATCTCTGTCGTCTGTAACAGGTCCCCCGCCCCCGCGCTTTGCTCCTCCACCACCACCACCACCACCACCTTCGGCGCAGTCCCTCGAAGCCAAACATCGTCGACAAAAACCGCAACCACAACAACCTCCACCTGCTCTTACGCGAGCCTCGACGACAACCGTTCCTTTGACGCACTGGCCGAGCCTCAACCCCCTCACCACCTACTACACCCCCAGTCATGCTCAACCTGCCAACACTACAGCGAGAATGGACCTCGACCTAAGCAACAATACTCCTATGAGTGCCGCATCACCAGATCGATATTACGACACACGAGAACGTAGCGTTCTTCTCGAGGACCCGGATGTGCGAATGGCTGCTGAAGCGCTGGGCGATCTGAAAGCTGGTATGAGATTAGCGACTTGTTTGTGATTACTGTAACTTGCTGACGGCATTAATAGGTGATGATCACTCCATCAATTCACCACAACCATACCATACCCCGTTGCCAGTGGGCTCTCCGGCGATCTCAATTACTTCGAACCCGCAAGCGAGCTCGCAAACATCCGCCGAAGAGCCCCTCCTATCGCTTTTGACGACATCTCATCCTATGATCGCCAACACCATCAAGAATACCGCCGGACTCTACAACAATGGCAAGACCTTCTCTCCTCGATTCAAGACCAGCGCCGAATACGTTGAAGGATACATGACGCCAATCACAAACGTCGCTGGGAACATTAGTCGGAAGACGGGTATCGAGACTGGTGTTCGTTGGTGGCTGGGGGCGAATCGGCGACACCAATCCACAGACTTGGAAGCCGCTGATGGAGGGTCTCACAAGAGACGCAAGGTCGATGCTGGAGGCGACTTGGCTAGGCACTTGGCCGATTCGCAAACGAACGTCATGCCTGACATCGACTCTCCACGAGACCCCTACGTGTTCAAGCATGACCGCCGACTCTCCAGAGCGAGCACCATCGACACGCTGCCCGCGTACGACGACTACCGCTCACCCGCTTACACCGAAGACGAGAAGGCTGAGAGGCCCAACAGTTCTAACACTGCATGGCAATCTCGACTCATCATGTCTACGTCTGGTCTCAGTATAGCCATGAGTGAAGAAAGTCTTCGGAGCCTAAAGTACTGCCTGAGCTGGTTGCGGTGGGCTAACGGCCATCTTGGTGGTGTCATCAACAATCTCAAGACGGTTCTCGAGCAGTATGAGAAAGCTGGTCGATCTGAGAGCCAGGGTGAGAACGGCGACGGCGACCACGCCATGACCGACAGTGATACCGAGGCAGCGGAGTATCAAAAGCGTGCCCAGTTGGCGGGCCAGATCAGTGGCCTCAAGGGTGATATCTTGAAGACCTTGAAGAACTGCATTGAGACCGTCTCCAAGTATGCCGGTGGTGCTCTCCCCGAGAACGCGCGTCTCCTGGTCCATCGCCATTTGACCACGCTCCCGCAACGCTTCCGCTACGCCAGCGCCCTTGAAAAGCAACAGGGCGATAAGACTGGCGCCGAGGCACAAGAGGAGGCGATGCGTGAAGGTGCCCATCGTGTCCTGGTTCTCGCCAAGGAGGGTCTCGACATGATGTTCCAGGTTAGTGGTGTCCTTGATGGCACCATTGTCAGTGCTGAGGAATGGTGCGAACGCCTGGGCAAGAAGAAGAGGGAGCAGCCCGAAACCGATTCTCCTCAACCTCAACCTTTCAAGGGCGACGTCAAGTCCGCCCCCGTTTAAACAAGCGACGATTTTACTTTGTACGTGGCCAGGATTTACCAGACGACAGGGCGGCTAGTTCTTTTCCTTTATCCTTCAACAAAACCAAGTGGGTGATTGAACGGCGCAAAAACGGAACACGGAAAAAAGAAAACAAGAGAAAACCCCCGGGCAAGTTACTGCTGCGGCAGACAAGGGGCACAAACCAATGATACCATCCCGAGGATGCCCTCGTTCCCATTTCACTTCAAGTATACCATATCGTCACACATTTACAAACACCACAACTGTCACGGACATTTCATTCATCTCGTCTTGATACGCTTTTGCTCTTGGTTATTTGGCAGTTCATAGTCAATGCCTGATATTTTTTTATTTTTTTTGTCTCTTTGCCGTTTCCTTCTCAAGCCTTAATGGACGGTCCACAGAGTACTGAGGCGTCTGTCGAACCCAGGCCCACTTGGGCATAATTGGGTTTGCTGTGTATAGAGCTTTACGTTTCGTCCTAGTACAAAGCAAAGCTGATCTATGATTCAAATCAACTGGACAATTCACAAATCTTGAACTGTGGTTCCCTAGTGTTTCAATCACATGATTTGATCCTATCTGCGACTTGATACTCTGTTGTACATGCAGCAAGGCCCCGAAACTAGAACTTGACGGGACGAAATGCGATACATTACGAAAGAGACCAGCGTATGGCGAAAGGAGTTCAAACCCAATCTTCGGCACGCTTCGTGCCGTCAATTTAATTCCGTCGCACCGGCAGTCAAACACCGTCCGATTGAGTGAGCACGTCTACCGCGCGTACGGTGGTCTTGCGGAGATTACACGAGCAAATCCACGCTCACTTGATCCGAATACGGGAATGAAATTCCGAACGCGATAGGCTAATTGAAGACGGGCGGTCCACCCACGGTCACGAAATCCGACCAACTTCCCGAATATGCTAAGTAAACGTACCCGACGTGCCCGAAATTCGAGCGCCCATCGCCCGTGCCAACGAGGGATCATAGGGCTGAGCGGGAGGCTCTTCAGTTGCATTGCACCCTGAAAGCTTGGCTGGGAATGGCGATCTTGAATTGGACCATGGTTCATTTGGTAGATGCCAGCGTTGAATTCTCGTCGGTCAAGAGCCAGAACTCTCAACTTGTCACATGGAACACGCAATTGATGTCGCGACTTTCGGCAGACGGAATACTGGACATGCGAGATCCGCGTGGTCCATGAAACATGTTGTTTACGGTTGATCACATTCGCAGAGTGTTCGGAGCAGCGAAAATTGCCACTTGAGGTATCGTCGGGCGCCCTCCCCCACATGATGGGGGAAGTCCGGGAGCTACCGACGCGGGAGCACATGCTATTTCTTGATACTGTGCTCTTGGTCCCATGTTCGCTTCAGCGATTTATGATGAGTGAACGGATGGTCCGTCCTTCAATTTCTAGTGTTCTTGTCCGACCACATTCTATCATGTTGGGTACGCCGGAGTCGACTCCGCTCAAGGCATGTATCAAGACGTCTCTAGTAAATGCTGACGTGGCGCCCTTTTGAGTTCCACGATTCTGAGCATATCTGTCGTGTTTCCATCAACAGAGCCGAATCCCGCAGTCTTCGCAGTTGGCCCATAGCAACGGCCGCGAAACCAACGCTGTCCTGCTGAGCAATTTTCAGAGCCCAACTTCGGCATGCATTTAAATGCTGGCAGCTACTTCCTCATCCATGGATATTCAATCAGCCGCGTGTCTGAGTATGCATCACCAATATGGCCGTGATTACGAAATGGCACCTGCTTTTCAAACAGTTTTCCCCGCAGACCCCGATGCACCCCAGGTTTTCCGCGCGGTCACAAACAGCAGGGAGATCGACAAGGGTATCGCGGCATCCGACGTTCTCTCCCCCGCACTTGTCACCGCAGCGAACCCGGGAGATTCGGTTAGCAGAGTTTACCAATGCAGCTCTTTCTATAGGATACACTCGGCAGATGACAACCGGGGCATCTGTTTCTGGTAGATAAAGACTTGAACATGCAACGTTCGGTTTCTAATGACATGTGGTTCTGCCTCTATCGATCTCATTGACGGGCCATCATGTTTTCGTTATCCAAGTTGCCGAGTGATGCCCCAGCGTCTCTGGTCGGCCTGCTTCTGGGGGCTGTCGTAGCCGGCGTGTTTGCGTATGTGATATACCAGAGATACTTTCACCCCCTTGCTGCGTATCCGGGGCCCTTCTGGGCGTCTCTCACGGACTTATGGCAGGTGAATGAGTTTCTTTCGCTACAGCAGCCGTACAATCTGACTGCACTCCACGCGAAATATGGGGAATTTGTGCGTTATGGGCCAGATAAGTTGAGCATCACGGCCGAGGAGGTCGTTCCTCTGGTGTACCAGAAGGGCGGGCGGCGACTGCCCAAGACGGAGTACTATGACGCGTTCGGGGCCAAGATCCCGAACGTCTTTGGCATGAGAGACATTGAAGTAACTCCGCCCTTACCCGTCTTATTTTGAAAAATGTTTGTTGAACAAGGCCAACAGCTTCACTCCATCCGTCGACGTCACATGTCCAACTCATTCTCGTTATCCAGCGTCAAGTGCATGGAGCACTACCTCGATGACAACGTCAAGATCCTCCGCGATAAAATCACAAAGTTCGCGAGAGACGGGGAGGCCTTCGACCTGAAGAAGCTACTGCAGTACTACACCATCGATGTCCTCGGCGAGCTGGCCTTCAGCCGCTCCTTCGGCGCCCAGATCTCGGACGAGAGCGAGGCCCTCGTCCCGCCCGTCGTGCCGCATACGCTGCTCGGCTCGACGACGGGATCGTGGCCGGCGATGATGCAGACGCTGAAGAAGTGGCTGCCAGCAGTCCCGCATAGCGGGCTACGGTGGCTGTTTGAGGGGCGCGCGAAGTGTGCGAGGTTGGCGGCCGAATGTGTTGAGAGACGGCTTGGTGAGGTGGATCGTGATGCGGAGAAAGGGAGCATGCGCAGGACTGATTTGTTGACTAATTTGATATTGGCGAAGCATCCTGATACTGGGGAGAGACTGGCGAAGAGTGATCTTGAGGCGGAGGCTTTTGGGTTCATGTGAGTTTGGTTTCCACTCTCTTGAGATATCACCACAATACTTACTAAGGGCAGTATTGCGGGAACACATACGACAAGTGCGACGACGACGTTGCTGTTCTGGAATCTGCTTCACAGCCCTGACACTCTTCGTCGGTGTGTCGAGGAGATCGATGCGAACTTACAACCACTTGACAGAGAAAATGCGGCATATTCAGTCACCGAAGTCGAGAACTCGCTGCCGTTTCTACGAGCGTGTGTAAAGGAAAACTTCCGACTGACTCCCGTGTTTACCATGCCGTTAGCAAGACGCGTGACAGCACCAGAGGGCATCGTGATTGTAGGACGCCACATCAAGCAAGGGGTGAGTTGAGTTTCCCCGAACATACGAAAACGCTAACGGAAACTTGCTGAAAGACATCGGTTGCCGTCTGCAACCACGCCTTCCACCACAACCCACGTATCTGGGGCGATGACCATGACGTGTTCGACCCATCTCGCTGGGATCAAGAGGAGATAGCGGATCGAGCGCGGTATCTCATGCACTTTGGCCTGGGTAGCCGCCAGTGTATTGGGAAAGCACTTGCTCAGACGAATATCTACAAACTTGCCAGCACACTATTGCATGAATTTTACTTCCAGCTTGCCGATTCGCAAGAATTGGAGGAAGTTTCCAAAGGGCGCTTCTTGGGGAGGCTGCCCGAGATGATGAGTGTTGGAGTGAGTGATCTGAAGGGACCGCTGATGGTTACAGCGAAGACTAGGACTTAGACAATCGGCTGACTGGCTCGCGTTTGCCAATTACACTGCGAATCACGGAAGGAGAAGCTTCAATGTTAAGCAGCATCAAGCATCATTCATCAATTCTCATCTCTCGCTATCCAACCCTAAATACTATCCAATAATAAGAATGAGGGTGATGTCAGTCACTCCATCCCACGAAGAAAAGTCCTGTATGTCCATCTCCTCAAGTCTATGTACATGTGGTATGTTTGTGTATCTTTTGGCTCACGAAGCCAGTCTCTTAGTCAGATCAAAGAGGCTAAATTTAACCGGAGTAGGAGACAGTGACAGTGCTTCCGCTGACGGAGGCCTTGGCAAGGACGGTGTTGCCGCCGTCCTCGGAGATGTCGATGATGGTGGCGCCGGCGGGGGTGGTGGAGCCGGAGGTGCCGGAGGCAGCGGCGGCGGTGAACTTGACGGTGCCGAAGTCAGCGAGGGTGACCTGGCTGCCGTTCTCCTGGAAGGCCTCGACGATCCACTCGGCGTTGGTCTCGCAGAGGGTGGAGGGGGTGCTGGAGAAGGTGTGGGTGACGGTCTTGCCGGTGGTCAGGTTCTCGAGCTTGGCGGTGCCCTTGGTCTTGGAGGTGGCGTCGACGGTCATGCGGATGGAGTCGCCGACGCTGACGCTGAAGCCGCTGAAGCTGTAGGCGTAGTCGGGGATCCACTCGTACCAGGCGTCGAAGGTGCCGTCGGCGTAGAAGGAGACGCCGGTCTGGAGGATGGCGGTCTGGCAGGTGTCGCCGTCGATGCCGACCCAGGCGGAGGCGGCGGCGCCGCTGGAGCCGCTGACCTCGGGGACGACGATGGTGCCGGTGACGTGGTTGTAGCCGGTGCCGATCTTGACGGCGCCGCCCCAGTTGGAGGAGTACTCGACGTTCTTGTCGCCGGTGACGGCGTCGAGGGAGACGACGTCGGCGGGGGCGGTGGAGGTGCGGTTGATGGGCTTGGAGCTGAAGCGGGCGCGGCGGTCGGAGCGGGGAGTGACCGGGGAGTAGTCGCGCTGCTTGAGGGGAGTGCCCGGGGCAGCGGAGGCGAGGCCGGCGGCGGCGGCAGCGAGGAAGAGGGAGAACTTCATCTTGAAAGTTGTGGTGGGTGGAGTGAAGACCGGAGAGAGAGGACTTGAGGAGTGAAGTTGGATGCTTGAGGCTCTTGCTTTGCTGCTGAGGATTCTGCTGCTGCTGATTCCAACTTTCACTTGTCTTGGCGATTTGAGTCCATCTTTATACCTATTGACGATAAACTGACAGCAGTGTCTCGGCAGGTTGTCTTCAGCGAGGCCCGCGATGTTTCCAATGCCACTATCCTTCTTATCGCAGGTGAGTAGATACTGCGATGCCGGTTTGCCGAGTGTCGTTCGTTCGAGGCACGGGAGCGCGTCTACCACGCAGCACAGCTGTATCCATCGTGAACAAAGCTCCTCCCTAATCCGGAAGTATCGTGAGCGCCCCCCTGGTGTTGAAGTCGCATCAAGCTTTATTCCCATCGGGCAGCGGGGCGGCAACACGGGAGTTCGGCACCTGGGGACCCCACATCGGCTCCGGACGCGCCAAGACGGGAGTTGGTGATTGGAGGGCAACCAACACGGTACCCTCCTTTCATTTATTTGCTCTCCACACCCTATCAGCTACCCGTCAGGCCCGTCGAGGCCCTTGTCCAGCTGCCGGGTGTGAAGGATCGATTACCACTTTCCTAATCAGATCGACCTTTTGCAATCGCGCCATCACTCATAAGCATAAAGTGCCGAGAAAGTTTCCCGCATGTGGGGTTTCTCGGCCGACGGATAAGACTGGCGATCGCCGTTAATTGGAGGTAAGCTTCCTGCCAGACGGGGATTGGCTGGCGATTGGGGCCTGTTGGCCAGAAGATCTTTTGCTTGGCCCTCACGGACATCCAGCACCTTTGAAGAATAGTGCGCATGGTCCCTGGATACGCGGATCACGAGATAATACTGGGACATGGTGCGGGATGGCGCAATGTTCCCTGGACTGTAACACAATTCAAGAATACCATAATTGCATGTGGGGACAAGGTAATACGATTCCATTGATTGACTGTGGAGATGGCCAGCGGAGTGACATGTGAGGCTCGTATCGAGAACATTGTGCGGAATTCCTGCGATGAGAAGTCAACCACGCCAGCCTGTGTGGCAGAAAGCACAGTCTCAAGCAAGTCCCAGTTCTTGTATGATCATGTCTGCTGCCTTTTCTCCAAGCATCAGAGCCGTATTGTAGGTGTTCGCAGCAACTTGGTGTGGTGGCACGCTGAGATCGGCAATCTTGAGGCCGGAAACGCCATACACATTCAGATTGGCATCAACTGCAATACATCAGCAAAGACCTCAGCGATATCTTGGATTTCGTGTCTTACCAACTCCCGTAGCTTCCCGTGGTGCCATCTTGCAGGTCCCCAATGGATGCCTCGAAGTGCCGATGTTTTCTCGAATGTACTGCACGATGGCGGCCTCATCTTCAGCTGAGTACTCAATTTCCTCTCCAATCGGGCCATCTGCGACTTCTATGACAGCAGCCTGAGACCCTTCAGGAAACTTGGGCTGTCCTGAAGCAAGTTCGCCTCTGAAAATTTCCATCTGACGAGCCATCTTTCTCTGGGTCTTGTAGCCCCAGATGTGACTCTTCAGGTCGATGTCGTTTTCGTCCGACAGCCAGCCTGGGTCGAAATCGTAGTCATCGCCAATAGTAGGACCAGTAATGTGAACGTGTCCTCTGGCGTACGGATACGTCACCCAAGGCGCGGTAGTGACATACTCTGCATCGTCGGGCAAGATCGAAGGGTCACCGAAAAAAGCGTTGAAGAGACCCCAGATCATGAGAGGGCGGTTGGTTGAGTCTTTGAAGTCTCTGTCCCACACTTCCTGAAACTCAGGCCCCAAAGCTGCAATGTCTGCAGGAGATGGACGTAGCTTGCTGGAGGCGTCATGGCCGTTCCACCCTAGTTGTGGATCATCTGCGGCGATCATAGCGGGAACGTCACGACCGCGATCATTGCGGGCGATGCCGTTGATCGTCTCATTTTGGTTTAGAGATGTGCGGTAGACATAGCCGACAAAATGGTGGTCTGCAAGATGTTAGAATACAGGCCCACGAAAAGGAAGGAGACGTGCTCATGCCTTGAAAATCATTGCCTACTCCCGGAAGAGATTCAACCAAAGGTACTTTAGCGTTTTCGAGAACTGCGGGATCACCAACTCCTGAACGCTCGAGAAGAAGCGGCGTCCCAAAGGAGCCAGCAGAAGCAACCACAAGCTTCTTCGCCGAGATGGTCCTAGTACTATTATCTTGGCCCGCCTTCGCGAAATTGGGATTTGGTCGGAACTCGACGCCTGTAGCACGCTTGGCGTCATCGAATAACACGCGGAGAACTTGGGTCTCAACTAGCACGTGGAGGTTGGGGTACTCGCCGCTTTGAAGAAGAGGATGTAAGTATTGGTGACTGACGTCCTGGCGACGACCGTCTTCGGGTGATACGTAACGATACCATGGACCGGAACCATTGTTAGAATGTAGACTTTGAAGATCAACGATCTCTTCGAAGCCAGTCTTTGCAGCGCCTTCAATGAAACTGGCTTCAGCACGAGGTGCCTCGTGGGTTCCCTTGGATACGTGAATTGGTCCGTTGTAACCGTGGGTTGACTCGTTTGTTGTTGCTCCGTGGTATGTCTCTGTCTATAATTGCAACACGTTATTACCTTGTCGTCTAAACACAAAGAGATACTCGCGATGTAGCCGAAAACGCAGGCTCCGATCATCAAGCTTACCTTCTTCAGATAAGGCAGGACATCTTCAGCAGTCCACCCAGAAGTATTCCACGAGTCGAAGTCATCCCACTGCCCGCGAGTGTATACCATCCAATTGATCGATGACCCACCACCTAAAATACCTCCAGTCTCAACGATGGGTTCGCGATCTGCCAGCTGCGGCGATTTGTTTGCTTTCCAAAAGAGGGCTGTATCTGACCCAGGCAAGGTGTTGCGCTCAAACAAGGCCGGATAGATGACGTTCGTCACATTATAGCTGTCTCCCCCCTGCTCAATGACAAGGATAGTAGTAGAGGCGTCTGCTTCAGCAAGACGGGACGCAATTATGCTCCCAGCTGTGCCACCTGCAAGTATGTTAGTCGGGAATCAATCTTGGAAGAGGATCATGACTTACCTCCAGCTATTATAATATCGACCTCGGTCAAATCGCTAGGGAGCTCCGTATAGACGGACATAGCCACTCTCACAGTTGCGAGAGTGGCGATGATGGCCTTTGAAATACTCATGCGACCCATGGAGACTGTCAATCAATGTGTGACCAAATTTGTGTCGTAGGTCTCGAGGAAAAGAGACAAAGTAGGGCAGGTCTGACATATGCGGCAGTTCTTTTCAATAAGTACTCGATGCCCCTAGCACAGATGTTTGATAAAGCTTCTGATCTGCAAATCTTAGGTGATGGAATCAGCAGATGATGCTTTGCATCGTATTGTCCGGCCATCGTCAGGGGCATATGCGCGGGGTTGCATTTCATGTAGCAGTAATTTCTTGCTAAAAGTCTTGGTATTGACAAAATGCACTGCAAATGGTTTCTGAAGTGGAAGACCACTGTGACATTTCAAGTGAAGCTGCATGGCTTGGCTGCTGGGGGTTGGGTCCGGAGAGGGGAAGCTTGGTGCGAGTTGCTGATCTTCCGGTCAGCGTGGTAGCAAGCCCCACGTTAGCGCAGAAAAGATGCTGGAAGCGGGCATTAACTAGGTTTGAGCTTTGAATCAAGGCGATTGATTCGTTTGCTCGCATTCTAGATTCATTGTTGTCGGCTGACAGAGACAGGATCATGTCGCTTTTTGGCGGGCCCTCCAATCGGCGAAAAACTTGTTCTTTACTACAAAGTTCTAGTCGGTAAAACCCTCAAAGACAGCCGAACGAATGTTCCCTTCTGTTTCTAACTACATTGTGTTCTTTATTTGCTAAGTCATTCCGCTTTTTCGATATCGAGTCGTAAACTGCAATAAGAAGCAAATCTTCCATGATAACCGTGGCTTGAAGATAAGCAAACTGAGCAAATTATTGATCCTAATTGCAAATCAGTTTGTGCAGCAACACCTCTATGCTACCTGAGATACGTAAGCAACCGAATGAGCATCGAAATTTGTCTATATAAATCTTGATGTTTTGGAGATGTGCCATCTCACAGAACCTCAGGCGGCAAGACTTGGGGCGATTGTTTTCATGCGAGCGGGGATCAGTAATACTTGCGACCGCGCATAGCTAAACCCCCAGATGGGTTTCTGTCGCAAAATATTGCTTTCAAGCGTCACATTTGATCTTTGTTGTTCCTTCCAAAACCACTTTTAGGTTGATGAATTCCTGCTATACAACAAGAGGCTAGAGCAATGTTAACGGGTGTATTGGGCCCATAAATTACGATTCGAAAAACGTCGTACCCTCTTCAGTGCTCCACCTCACCTCCCGTAGATTCAGGAAGCGCTGTCGCAGCCTCGACATGCTATATCTATCTGTTTCGGGTGTCGATAGGTTACGCAGGTCAAGTTTGTGTATATCACTAAACCAGCTCGTGGGATTGCATTCGCGCCAGGAACTGCATTCGACCAGTCTGCCGATTATGAATATATCGACATTGAGTTGCAAATAATCAACTTCCCAATTAATTAATACATCTGGGACCGTTTCAACAGATGGAATAGTTGACCACGTTGAATCATAAGTCGGACTACTGCACCACATCGGGAGCCAGAACCGGGGCCGGATCTTCGTAGCCACCAAGTACGACTCGCGATTGATTGTTGTGTCGATGGCTGTAAAGTAATGACGCCGAGAGCCCACATGATGAATGGAATGATTTACGACATGTGCCCGAAGGTGTATGCTCGAAGATTTTATTCCACATTTCCAACGAACTTCGAAGTATCTTGGTTCGAGATAGAACTCCATCCATATCATGAGTCGTATTTCTGTTGGAAACTGTGAGAATTTGGGAAAGGCTGAAAGAGGCCTTGCAGTGGACATCCCCGAGTTAGAAATCTCAGTTGCCGTAGAGTTGATTTCCATCATGATTCAAATCAGCCCGTCTGGAAGCGAGCATGGGCGATGGAAAAGGTCGATGAAAGAGTTTTGCTAGCCGGGCAGTGTCAGCTGGCTATTCGGGCAGTGTCCCCTATGACTTTGATCGTAGCGTACCTAATTCTTCGATAGGGACGATGGTAGTAGAGAAAACGAAAGGGGTAGCGACGAGTTGCGATGATAAAAGACGATGATAGGACAGAAGGATCAAACGCGTGTGTCGTCGAGACTGCCGGAGTAGGCAACTGACAGTCGGCTAGCGAATCTCGAATGAAACCGCGAAATATGTTGGAAATCAGGATGGAGCAAAAGAAAGCAAAGTTTTGAGTACATTTCATCGGCTTGAATCACGTGCTGTCGAGACATTCGCACCACTCATTCCTTAGAACCACCCTTTGGGATGCGGTTGTTGCTCAAGGTCAAAACTCAAAAAGGCCGCACGCGTCTTCTACCTTGCTGCATTTCTCATCCCGAATCTCTCAAATAACTATCAAACACCCAGAATCTTTCTTATAACCGTTAGCAATAGAATGCAGCCGCACAAGTCCGGTACCGGACGGCGTGTTAACAGCTTCCCTTGCTAATTACACCCTAAATGCTTACGTGAACACCAAAGCTCCAGGCATTGCCGAGTCTTTAAATTCAATGCCAATCCGCTGGAATATCATCTACCATTTCTCAGTGACATATTCTCTACTTGCGTATACCCAGAATACTTCTTTGCCTGCAACTATGTCCACCACAACTTCACCGTCGTTCACTCCTAAAGCCATCATCTTCGATCTCCTAACGGCGCTGCTTGACTCATGGACTATATGGAATGCTTCGACGCCAACAGGGACGGCTGAGGAGGGCCGCAAATGGCGAGAACGTTATCTGGAATTGACCTTCGGTCAAGGAGCATATGCCCCGTACGAGGCTTTGGTGATGCAGGCTGCGGACGACGTCAACTTGCCACGATCTGCACCCGAGGCTCTGATCAGGGACTGGCCCAACCTGGCGGCATGGCCAGAGGTTGGCGATGTCCTGTCGCGTTTGCGGAAGAAGGGCTACAAGCTCGGCGTCGTCACGAATTGTTCCAGAGAGGAGGGCAATATGGCGGTGAAAAATGTGGAGAAGGCGGTTACGGAGAACGGGCAGAGGAACTTCAGGTTCGACGCGGCTATCACAGCTGAGGAGAGCGGGTTCTACAAGCCGGTGCTCCAGGCATACCATGCCATCTTACCTGAGCTTGGAGTTTCGGCGGACGAGGTACTATTTGTGGCTGGGAGTAACGGAGATGTCGAGGGTGCAACCGAGGCAGGTTTCAAGGTTGTCTGGCACAACAAGATAGGCCTACCTAAGAAGGGTCATGCGGAGCCGCTGAGGGAAAGCAGGACATTGGATGAAGCATTCAAGGATTTTATGTGAACTTTCCATCGACTTTAGGCTAGCCTTACTATCCGGGTAAATAATCGAGATGAATCTTGGGAAGCTTGACCTAACAGGTTCCAAGGCGACGGGTTGCTAATGTGCGAAGTGGTTAGGCATTGTGTGTGGCCGTGAGGGTGAAACCGCCAATCTTAAGTCGGGGTGGCCATGTTTTCTTCTAGCTTACTAACTGCTCATCTTCACTATGTTCTCATAAAATCGCTGTCTGGTGAAATAAATCATCAGAATCAGAGTCGCCCAGCCTTTGACGCTTATCCTTGTTTTCATTTGCCTGTTTCCTTCTCTGAAACTCCTTGGATTGCTCTTTCACAACCTCTTCGCAGTCAAACTCTTTCGACATAGTCATGATGTAACCCTTTATCGCAACTTTTCTGTCGAAGTCCTCGCTTACGATGAGAACTCGAAGTCCCGGGGACCCAAACCTTCGCATTTTCATCGCCCATTCAGCGATGATTGGCATCTCGGTAGGGTGATTCATAGTGACTACCAGTCGGAGTGTCCTTAGGGAGGGCGGTAAACAAAAATGTGGCATGCTGCGCGCCTCCTCGGCCCAGGGATGCGGGAGAACAATTTCGAAACTGGTCAGGTTGACCAACTCTCGCAGGGGTTCCAGGGCATCGTGATCTTGCGGCTGTGAACCTATCGGCATCGAAAGTGTCTGTAGCGTACTAGCATGCCGTCGAAGTGCCCTCAAGATAAGGCCTGCTTTTTGAGTACTCATAAACGCCTTGGTTTTGACTTCTAAATGAACAAGTCTGGAGATTGATGACACAACGTGCTCTGGTGCGTTGGATTGGGGGCGACTAGCGTCCAAGCTGAGCCTGCATGTGGTCAAATTTGGAGCTTTGAAAGGTCGTGAAGGATTAAAGGTGATCCCGCTTGTCTCTAGACTCGTAAGACTTGGTGCTTCGTCTAGAATGTGTTGAATTCCTTCGTCTCTAAAGAAGTTCTCATGAGGCATTTTCAGCAGATGTAAATGTCGAAGATTCCTAAAACGTGGCGGTCGAATGCTCATCCCCCCTGCACCCGGGACGAGACATTTGAAAAGAGTGCTACCAACGCGCCGAAAGTTCAATTCGAGGCTCTCTACATTGATAGCCCGAAGTGCCAGGATTTCAGTGGCCAGGTCAATGTTGTTATGCGATTGAGCCCAGCCATCTGGTAGTTCAGCATTCATGTCGGAAGCCGAACGAACTACGACAGCGGCGTCCTCTTCTGACATGTAGTCATCGGCAGATATAGGCTCACACACCAGCCGCCTGACATATTTCGATCTTGTTGGGCGTGAATCCCAACATCTCATGATGGACAGAAGCTGTCTAATCGTGGGCTGCGGAAGCCAAACAAAGCTGAAAAGAAACGGCTCCGCTAAGTCTCTGAGTGTGTGGCTCGTCCGGCAAAGAGCAGCCATGGCGGCCAAATCGCAATGCAGACGGGCCACATCAAGAGTGTTATCGCCACAAATTTTGCGATCATGGACAGATTGGTACCTTCCACGATCGGGATCAGCGAACTGTGAAATGACGTGTAGGAGGATTTCCGCTGGCAAGTCGAGAAGGTGAAGCATGTTGGCCAAACAGCATAATGTAAATGACACACCATGTGTCGGGCAGGTCGGATTATGCGCTTTTTTCGAGTGCTGCTTGAGGTGAACTTTTATCGAGTTGTCCTCGAGGTGTCAGCTGTTGTTTGCAAGGTCAGTTGACTCGCTCACAGCGAGATCGGCATCTAGTAAGGTCGTCAGTAGCCCCGCTACACAACCTAGCTGCATGGTCACCTCTCTTGTCGTTTGCTTGGATGCCACAACGGAGAACCTGAGATGAACTGGAATTGATTCTTGGTTGCCTTTTGTGCTTAGTATCGAGAAATATAACTAGAGACTTGTTGATTTAGGCAAGTCCCACTCAGCCGTTATTTTCCGTCAAGCCGATCTCGGCAGGTGCGTTCAACTTCGCGAGATGAGGAGTGCGATTGACAAATTTTGCAAGACAGCTCAAGAATTCTACAGACTCAAGCAGAAACAATTGAATAATGCATCAGCACGGGATTCAGCACAGGGAATCAATTAGTTTTGGTGGAGAATCTCCCGGGGCTTTGGTAAAAATGCAGAGGCTTTTTTGTTGAATGATGGCCAACTCGGATTAGATGTAGACATTAATTTATGTAAAAGTTGCACCTTGCAACATTCGAGTAATCCGAGTTTTTTTAAAAAGGGGGAAAAAAAACCAGCTAGAAATGACACGGATAAGTCTGTAGGTGGTCAGGATAGAGATCAGAGCCTGGGAAGCGGAGAGAAGATAGTCGAGCAGCTTATCTCCAGCAAACCAATTAACCGATGTATTGATTACGTTCAACACCAGAGCCGATGATGAGTAACGACGCCAGTTTAAGATCTCTGGGCTAACTCACTTAACTCCGGCAAGTCAAGTACTTCGGGCATGTTTTGGCCGGTCATACTTACTTTGGTCCGTTGCACTTCAAGTTTCTGAATGGTATCTCCATGTCCGTGGGCTCTTTGTTTGCGGCGCCCTTGAAACCCCGCACCAACGTCGGTGCCGAGCCGGCATCGATCTTAAACTCCCCGGCCCCATCCAAGACTACCTCAACTCGAGGAAACAACTCAAAAGCTCTACTAAACCTGCCCTCGATTGTGTTTCAATAACCAAATCGAAAGCCTTCGATTAACCAAAATGGCCCAAACCAAGTCCGACGATCAAGAGTACCTCGCAAAGCCACCCGGGCCATGCTGCTTCACAGGCACCATCCATGACGGCAACCCCGCCGGAAAGGTTGAGGACATAATTGAGGTGCCGACTTACGTCGTCCGGCCTGCCGACATGGGTTCCTCTCCCAACGGTCACGTCGTGCTCTACTTCCCGGACGTGTGGGGCCTCTCGGTCAACGCCAAGCTGCTGATGGACGGCTTCGCGTCCGCCGGGTACACGGCGCTTGGCATGGATTACTTCCGTGGTGTGGGTACATCACTCCGAGTCACAAACCGATACTAATCATCGGAACATAGGACCCCATTTCCAAGTACCGCACCAACAAGTCTGATCCGCTGCCGCCCGGGTTTGATCACGCTGCTTGGCGCACGAAGCACTGGACGTTTGCAACTGAGAACGTGCCCAAGTGGACAAATGCTGTGCGCGGGAAGTTTGGCGGCCAGGTGGCCGGCACGGAGACCCGCTATGCTTGCACGGGATACTGCTTCGGTGCACCATTTGTATGTGATCTTCTCGCTGGTGCGGCCGGAGATGGTGAGCCAGTGGTGTCGGCCGGTGCATTTGCCCACCCTACGGCCTTGAAGGAGGAGCATTTCTCAAATCTCAAGAGTAGGTTTTCCGGGGCAAGCTTCATCTAGATGATTTGAGGACTGACGTGACTAGAACCGTTGCTGCTTTCTTGTGCTGAGAATGATCAAGCGTTCAACACCGAGTCTCGACGGAAGGCCATCGACGTTCTTCAGCGCGAACAGAAGGCCTACCATGTGCAGCTTTTCTATGGCGTGGGGCACGGGTTTGCTGTGAAGGGCGACCCTGCTGATCCGTATCAACGTGAGTTTGTCCCGTTCTTGAGTGAGCACTGTTCGCTAATCTCATTTCACATTAGGCTGGTGCAAAGAGCAAAGTCTACGTGCTATGATTGACTGGCTTGATCTTTGGTTGGTGACAAAGCAGTAAAAGTCGCGGGATTATCAGAAGGTATGCAAATTTAGCAACGGAGAGAAGGTCGCCAGGCAGCGAATTCTCGCTGCAGGGACTGAATGAGAAGGATGTTTTGACATGCAATAAAGCTGCGAGACTACAATCACTAGTGAATTGTTTGGTCATAATTGGTGATGGTTCTATTTCGTTATTGTAAGGCGCCCTATCGTTTCCAAGCAACCCCGTACACCGAAGCAGAAGCACATCCTATGGCGGTGTGACCTTCATCATCGCCGCCACCAACATATCAACCTGATCACCAGTGACCTTGGTAGCCGAAGTCTTGAAACCCTCGTCAAATGGGAACCTCTCCTGCTCAAACATGACGTTCATGTACTTAGTCGGCGCCTGGGGGTTCTGGAAGTCTCCCGCAAGAACACCCAAGATAAATGCAGACTCGGCGAACGACAGCTTCAGCTGTGCCTCCGTCATGTTGAATGTCGGGTTTGTCTTCATCGCCACTGCAACCCTGTCCTTGCGCGCGATGGCCATTGTCTTTGTATCAATCGTCTCCCCGGTGAAGTGCGCCTTGACCCCGTTCCACACACGCGCATCAAACTTGTTCGCGTTGCCAGTCACGGCGACGTCTTCGCGCGAGAGACTTCCGTCGTGCTCAATGACGTTGTGTTTCTCCATGTCTTTCAGGTTGACCGTGCTCGAGTTGCCGGTAGTCGAGATGGGGAAGGTTGGTTCTGCAAGCTTGACGGTGACCTTCTCGTCGATGTTGAGGGCCTTTGTGAAGGCGAACTTCAGTTGCTCCATGTTGATGTTCATTCCGTCTCGTGGAAGGTAGCCATGGTTAGCTAATGCGTTGAGGACGGGGCATGGAGATCTGTTGGCGTCCAAGGCTGGGACTTTGAAGGGAAACTGGGGGTCTTCGGCGAGGGAAAACGCCAGAGCGGAGCGTGAGATTCCTCCCAGAAGCAAAAGAGCGACGTAGCCCTGCATTTTGGTTCAATGAATGTTGGAAATGCGTAGTTGGTGAGCGTGTAGTATGCAGGTGCTGTTACATGGATTCCGGAGCAAAGTCTTCGGCCGAGAAAATAAGTCAAGATGGCCCGAAGAGGATGATACTGTCTTAAATGGGATTCAAGAAAGTTGATCCCGCCTAACAGCTCACAATGACGAGTCAACGCTCTCGAGCAGAATATTAATATTCAAAGGGATATAGTAAACTCTCCAATCCCACGACGCCGGCATGTTTCCAACCGAATGCTTAATCCGCAGGCGAGAAGTGAGGGAACGGCACTGCGCTTTCTTTACCCAAGTACGGGTCGCTCCGTCGGACCTTTCCTAAAGTCCTTCTTACACACTGAAAATGCCGTGGGTAAGGTTAATTAGAGAGATTGTGCTGAGGATGGGGATTTAGGAAAGGGCGAAGAAACATGTTTAACTCTGTCCAACGGTCTTGGTCAAACATGAGGTGTTTTGCCTACTAGTATGAATAGAGTTCAGCAACGCCAAGCTTGTTTGTAGTGCTTCATCCCATGTCTTCTAAAGCATGTGTAAATGCTTAAATGTTCGGAGCAAGCCGATCCGCGAGGCGCACGGAGAGTCGGACGAAAGGGCTGAAAACTCCGCAATTGGGCAATCCGGGGCAGCTGGTCGGGCAGATGGGAGCATAGACTTCCAACTTGCACAGCTAGCGCCACCGGACGACGCCATCTGAAGCATCTCAATGCCAAGAAGAGAAATGGCTTCGGCCGATTTCGTGTATTGCGTGATTCAATTGGTAAACGGCCAAGAGGGGGCTGTCAACAAGTGATGGGCAACTCTCTTGCGATTTATGAGATTGATGCTATACGCGGGCAGAAAAAGCTCAACTTTCCGCAAAGCTGTCTGCTCTGGGTAGTTACCTCATCGAGATTCAATGACTGTTGATAACAGATCATTAATCACAGCTGTGAAACCAGCGCCTCTCAAATTCATTGATCATCACGGTACAATAATCGCAGACAGCTATTGTGGTCTTCATAAATGTCTACTGCATTGAACAGTGGGAAGAAAAGAAACCTGAGACATCTTTTCAGCCAAGACGTCTCCAATCATGAAGTCGTATTCTGTCTTGTGAGTCAGAGTAGTACTGTTCCAAAGGTTGCCTGTGCCACGCCTGAAACTTCAGAACATTATGAGAGACTCATTTACTATAAGTTACTAGAAGTCGGAAACGAAACAGAAAGTCAGACAATGTGGGGTTCGCAGTAAGGACAGCTAACCAGAAGCAACTCACCAATCATCATTACTCGTAGGTCATAGTCGACGTACAGTCACTTGCAAGTAAATATTATAGTCGGTTTAGTGTATTTGCATGAAGTTGAGCGAATGCTTTTCATACCAATGTGTACAAGAGACACCTTGCCATTTCATTTGTCGCGTTGTAACTTGTAGACACCAACTTATAGACACCATCATGACACATTAACAGCGTCAACACCACTCCAACACACTTCATGGCGACTCATTTCCTGAGATATTGCAAGTTGACCGGTGTGATCGGCTCTCCGCCGCCCAAAATAGCCATGATGTTCCTCATACTCAACTCCTCAAACCCAGCATGCGTCTCAACCGTCCCGCCGGCATTATGACAAGTCAGCATTGCCTTCGCCCCCGCCATAGCTACCAATCGCGGGTGCGGCTTCGGCTCGTTCTCGTGAACATCCAGCGCGACGGCGCTCAAACGTTCATCCTCAAGCGCATCCGCCAGCGCCTCCTCGTCCACAAGACTGCCCCGCGCGATGTTGACGAACCGCGCCCCGGGTTTGAACCACGCGAGCGACTCCTTGGTGATGACCTTGCCTCCCGCCGGCGTGCACAGAACAACGCAATCCGAGCTCTGCAACAGCGCCTCCAACGTCGGATGGAACGTCGCCTTATACGCCCCCTCCGTCGCCTCGTCCTTCCTGATCAGGTCGAAGTAATGCACCGCCATCCCAAATCCCACACCGAGCCTCTGCGCGATCTGCTGCCCAATGTTGCCGAAGCCAACGAGTCCCAGCACCTGACCCCGCAAAGTATGCGATACCCCCGTCGCCCGCGCGTGGCAGTCCCGGAAGGCGGCTTCGTCGCCCGCGGCCCCCATGCACCATGGTAAGTGCCTGAAGGTCGAGATGACCATGGCGACCGCGAAATCCGCGACGGCCTCCGCGGCCGCCAGGCCGGAGTTGCAATACACCACCCCGCGCTCGCCGAGGAGCTGGGTGTCGGCCCAGTCGAAGCCCGCGCCGGCGCTCGCGAAGACGCGGCAGGAGGGCGGGAGGAGCGGGACCAGCTCGGCGTCCCACTTGCCCATTTCGCCGCCGGTGCCCCAGAAGGGTCGGAAGACGGCGGAGAAGTCGCCCCACTTGCGGTCCCGGAGGGCGGCGGCGAAGGCGGGGCGCTGGCGGTCCGGGGTTGACGGGCGGATGACCTCGAATTGCGCGGCGAAGGCGGCGTACGTGTCCGGGTTGTATTTGATGGGATCGCCGATATGCAGGACCTTGGGCTTTTGGGTGCTGGGCAGGGGCGCTGGGGCAGGTGAGAGAATGGGTTGGGGCTGGTGGGGGGATGCAGAGCGCGGCGTTTGGGCGGCTGGTGTTGCCGGGGGATAAGGCGTATTGTTTGGTTCTGCCATGATTTGCGACTGAGTTGATTGAATTTGAAAGTGAAGATGGGAGTGAGGGTTTTGGAGCCGCGCAAGTTGGGTCGCGATGCGATAGATATGGGATGACAAGGGTAGCTCCCGATAGCTGGGCTAGTGAGAACAACTGATGGGAGATAATGCAGCCACGTGGGTAAACCACTTGAAGTCGTCCGATAAGGCTGCGACAATGGAAAAGGGTTCACATGCAATGGGTGGCCGATTATCCGCTATTTGGAGTGACACGAGAGCAAGGCAGCATTGGTGGAATCACGATTGGGGTGGTCGGTGAGGGGATGAGGCGAGATTGGGTGCGTCTTGCGCCTCTTGGAGGTGAACTCTCCCGATCTTGACCGCAGGATGGTCTCTCCACTCGCCCGGGCCGGTTCGCGTGCTGGTTGTGACACTTTCTTATTCTGTGGTGCGTTAAGCTGGGCTTCCACTATGTTTGGCTGGTTCAGATAACGCAAATTGCTTTGACTTCCCAAGATAACCATTCACCAGTCACAACCTTAAGAAGATTGCTTTGGCCTCCTAAGGACATGCTATTTGGTGGTATCTGGCTGTAATCGCCCATGATTTCCTAGAACATGAAATCGTATGAATTTGAACAACACTGGCCACAAGTGTTCGCGGGGAACAGCAAACCCAGCAGACCCCGCCGCGGGGGTGCAGCAGGGCAAAGTTGTGGGGTGAGGATGACGATCGGTCTAGGCTCGCCCAGCTGAGGCGGCTCTTGGCTATTTTCCCGACTTTTGCATCTCAGCCCATCCGTGTGGGGGGCAGGTGACGGCTCTGGGGCCCCGCGAACGTTAGCTGATGTATGAATGGTCTGATAATCTCTCCATCAGCAAGACGCTGCTGTCTCGACCCAACACGCGGTGAGATTGACCGAGGTGGTTTGCTCGAAGATTATCCATCAATCGATTTACTTAAAAAATATCCAGATAAAAATATGTGTCGCTCAAACAATAATCTGCCTAGATTGCCATAGTCCTATTGCCATGCTGCCTATTTCAGCCGGTGTCTGGCTTAGACAGACACCGGCTGCGTACATCGCCGGCCCGGGTCCGATGGTGTTGGCATCATTGGTGGCACATGGTTCTCTCTTTTTAATCAATGCCTCTATTATCAGAGGGATTTCAAGCAGCACTGTATTCTACGATACCCATTTATCGTGCGACGTGTTGTGCATGTTCTTCCGAGACCATCCCTGGGCCACAGACAGGTCTCGAATTCCCTTCCCATGGCGTTCCGTGGCATCCAACCTGAGCCAAGCCATCCTGATCCTGATATCTTACCAACGCCGTGCTTCCCAAGTAATCAATAAAATCCACAGGCAAGTTAAGCATCTGCCTTGACCGCCGGCACCTCTTCAGCCTTCTGGGCATCATCTGCCTTGGGCTTCTTGCGAATCAGTCCGCCACCCAGCACATTCACAGCCGGGGTCTCTTCAGCTTTCTTCTCATCCGCAGCCTCCTCCGTCTTGGGCTTCTTCCGAACGAGCCCGGTCGCAAGGACGTTAACCTTGTTGGCCGGCTCATCCTTTGCAGCATCATCGGGTCGCTTACGCTTAATCAAGCCGGACAGGTTATTCACCTCTCCAGCAGACGACTCGTTTGATACCGGCGCAGGAATCTCGCGCTTGCCCACCACATCTAGGCCCCAGGTCTCACCCATGCCGACCTCGTTGATCCAGCGGCGGGTGCTGCCAGTCGCGAGCTCCAGCTTCGAGAAGTCGAGGTGAAGAAGTAGCTCGTTCGTCCGTTTGTAGCCGGCCTCATCGACGATCCGGCGACCACGACCTTCAGCTGGCCAATAATAATACGCTGTGGAGATGGGCTTGTCGAGTAGGTAGTTGCGCTGGTGCTTCTTGATGCGAGGTTGACGGGTCATGACGATGCCGGTCTTCTTCTTTTTCTTCTGGCTCTTCTTGTCGTCAGCCTTCTTCTCCCCTGACTTCTTGGTCGGCGTCCCTGATGGCGACACGGGGAATAGCTTTCGCGGAGTCGACATGGGAGTGGTGGGCCGGACTGCCTTCTGACGGGACGGGGTCGTGGGTGGGTTGGACGGGTCGAACGACGGGTTTGGCGTGGGCAAAGTCGACGCTGCGCTTTCGCGCCGGGGCTGCTCATCCAAAGTCTCAGCTTCAGGGTCAAAAACTGCCCAGATGAAGCCCGTCAAACGTCCGCTCGAGCACTCTTGTCTGAAAGCCATCATCTCCCAGAACGTCTCAAGCGTCTTCACGCTCTTCCACAAACCAGTAGTCTTAACTTGTTTCGACTTGCCAGCCTCCTCATCTAGTTCATCTCTGAATCGGGACTTGGGATCGTCAGGGAATCGAGGGATGAGACACCTGGCCGGGACCCAGTCGTACTCCTTCGTGTAATGCGATATCTTCTCGAGAGCATGTCCCAGCACCCAATTGGCAGCACTCTTCGGTCCCCGGGGAATGAAAGCTTTCGTCTCGTAGTCGTCAAGGCCTGGAATGACGAGGTATCCTTTCACGGAACCCCATGGATCGCCATTGCCCACGGGAGGCTTCTCGAGGAGTGGGTCCAGCACCTTGCACCACCACTTGACGAGCCCCCTATCATCCAGCACATGCTTGCCGCTGTAGTCGACACTGCCGGGAAAAAGATATTGGTTCTGGGCGCGGGCGAACAGGCTGACGACTGTTTGGATGCCCTTGCGTCGGCGCTGCTCGACGAGGTATGTGACAAAGGCGCTGCTGATTTCCTTGACCGGGGAGGTTGTGCCTTTGGGAAGGTTGAGCAGCTTCAGGTAGCCGGTCGAATCCGCTTTGGCGACGAAGATGGTGCTCGAGTAAGCAGTCGTGTAGATGTACACCTCCAACGCCAAGACGAGAACCTGCTTCGCGTCGGTGTCCTTGGTCGTAATGTCTTTCGAGGTCTCGTCGGTCGTCTTTGGCCGGGAATCGATCGAAATGGCAAGGAAGTGCTTCTCGCAAAAAGTCCTGTCATCTCGCTCGTCTGGCGGCGCAGAGTAGAGTGCCTGCGACTTGGTGGGCGGTGTCGAGAGGTGGTAGACGCCGAACCGGTAGCCCTTTGGCAGGACTGCCGCCAGCTTCTCAACGAGCAGAGCGCTGCTCTGGGCGGTGGTTTTAGCTCGATTCGGTGTCGCCATGATGGATCAGAAGCAAAATATCGACGGGAGCCAGTTCTTCCCTAGCAATTGTCATACCATCGTAGTTGCAAAAAGCGCAAACGTCGTCGACCAACAAGCGAAAAAAAGGAGCCGTGTCTGCCAAACCCGTTCGACGCGTCGCTGACGGGAGCTGCTCCCTTCACATGCGTGTCAGAGTGGGGTGGAGACGCGAGTGGAGATTGAAATGTGAAAGGGAACGGAAGCTGCAACGTTCAGGGGGCCCTGCCGTTGGTTCGCACGGAAGCCCGCCAGCCCAGCCCATCACCAAAGCGGACTAGCGCCGGGGCTCGCATGATCCTCGCTCCGCGCGAAGACACGTGACCTTGAAAGTGGCCCGTGCAGCAGACCATCGCGAAAAAGTTCTGGAGCATCATGATGAAGCTGCCAGCTCCAGGCGGGATAAAAACCACCGGACCAGCACCACGATCCCGCAGCCAGCCGCCCGCCCTCCCAATGGCTACCACCACCTCCCGGTCAGCATACGGCCTCACGAGGCATGCCCTCAGGCATTGCCAATCGGCGCCCCGAGTTGCGTCCGCAGCATCCTCCCCCGCCCCGCAGTGCCTGCTCGCCGCCCGAACATTTGCGACGGCCGCCGCCGACAGCAAGATCAATGAACTGCCGAGGAGGGACGACACGTCGGAGCGGCCAAGATGGTCCTACACACCCGAGGGCATGAAGGCGCCCTTCTCACCGCACATCACTATCGACCCCAGGCGCAAGGTCTGGAAGGTGAACAACGACCCCAAGGTGCTGGACGAGATGTACGTGCGGTTTTTGGGACGGGGCGGAGACAGCATGTTGCCTGAGGAGGTCAAGTGGCTGGCGGTTACACACAAGAGCTTCGACCAGGGCCGCAGAGGTTTCAACGACAGGCTGGCATATGTCGGTAGGTTTTTTTCCCTCTCAGTGATTTGCTCTGGGCCTGGGGGAATTGGGAGGTTTGAAGCGAGAAGAAAGGATGTAATCGAAGCTGACTCGGCGTTTGCGTTCGCTTCCAGGTCGTCAAGCCATCATCTTCGAGACCACAAAAAGCATAGTGGCGGCAGAGAAGGAGGGCGCCATCGTCCCAGACGAGTATGGCCGTGAACCGTTCCAGCACCCGGCCCTGGCCCAGGTCGATAACCTCAACGTCGAGATGCCGGTCAAGGTCGTCAACAAGGAAAAGATTGAGCAGTTGGCCTTCGATGCGGGTATCGACAAGGTTTTGCGGTGGAAGCCGGCAAAGGTAAGCGCCGATCTCACCAACCGTCTCATGAGGCATGCCCCCTCTCAGGGGCGGAAACAAAACACACGCACACGTACACGTATGACTAACGAAGAAACGTTCCTCAGCCTGAAAACCTTGCCGGATCAGGTCAGCAGATTGTGCTCAACTCGGCAGTCTTTGCCATTGTAGGAGCCATCACCCTCCAGCACGGCGCCGATGTGGCAGGCAGAGTTATCAGGGAGAGAATATTGAAGCCGCTCTCACTCAGGCAATAACGCCGAGGGAAAAGAGAGACGTCTGTTGTATCATAGGTGTAAAACATTGATGAAAAAGATATCATCCCAATAACGCAACGCAATGAGAGAGACCGACGAAGTCACATTTCGTCATCAACTTTTTGCTTCTTTCCCCTTCGCATGACGCTGTGCCGACACCGGGCCGTGAGGAAGTTGTGGTAGCAGACAAGGAAACCCGCGAACAGTTATAGAAACCTACCCCAAAGGGGGGCAAGAGGAGAAGCATCGACGCTCGCCACTCATACCGTTAACGGCGCCGTGGTCAGGTGCATGACATGGGAAATCAACTCATACCGTTAACGGCGCCGTGGTCAGGTGCATGACATGGGAAATCTTGCGGTCCGGAGGCTGCCATGCCAGCTGGAGCACCCGGCCTGTTGCCGACGAGTCGAGTGCTTTCTGCACGGTGGTGCTGCGGAAGCGCGTGCTCATCTCCACCGTAACGAGGTCGTCGACCACACGCTGTTCTACGTCTTTGCTATGAACCAGAGTTCTCCTCACTTCGCTGTTGCTAAAGGTCCTCATCAGCATGCGCGAGTGCGACGCCCAGTCGATCATCTGCATGCCCTCCCGGCCAATCTCGCCCGCGACGGCATGGATGTAGCCCTCTCCCAGTGGACGGACCATGTCTGACGTATCAGCGGTGCACAAAACAAAGCTTTTGAGGAAGGCCAGCGATTCGCTCAGAGTGGCCATCCCGAAGCCGGGGTCTGGATTGACGTCCCTGATGCCCTGGGCCCCGTAGTGAGCCACGCCCTCGTGGTTGGGATCGTAGGCCAGGAGGTCGCTGGCAAGGATGGCCACCGAGCGGGTGGCTCCCTGGTAGAGGACGAGGTCCCAGTCGGGGTTGATGTAGATGCGGTCCCACGCCGGGTTTCGCTGATTCAGGGACGGGCGGCCGTGGCTGTCAGGATCGGGAGAGCGCATGGGCAGGTGGATCCTGAAGAAGGCCAGCGCCTCGCGGCGGGATTCGGAACACACGCGGAAGAGGACGGGGCTCCTGTTCTCGCAGTACCAGTGGGCGTTGCATGCAACATTGCCAAACTCGTTGCCGGAGGTCTCATTGCCGGGCACGTTGCAGTCCATGGAGCCGCGAATCACGACGATGCGCGGCCAGGAGAGGCACATGAGCCATATCCTGCAACGCAACTCGTAGGGCAGTTCCGGAAAACGGTGGAAGGCTGCGGTTGTGTCCGCGTTGATGTCTGCGGAGGACGCCAATGGGGACGAGGGCATCAACACCGACGATGAGCAAGGCGAAGTAGTTATTATCGGCTCACGTCCAGATGCGGCAACCCATGTGCGCAAGTCAAACCCTTTACAGGCTTTCAGATCCTTCCAAGGCGTCGGGGGCTTCACCCGCGCGGCGGACGGAGCAGGGATGGCCGTGGTTCGTTGGGTTTGATGGGCACCATGATCGTGCTCGGTCTCATCCGCGGCGTCATAACGGTCATGTCTTTGCGAAGCGCCAGATTGGTGGGTTGGGCGGACGTTCAAACCTATCGGTCGATGTGAGGGAGACGACGTCGAGCTCGAGCTTGGTAAGCCGGCCGTGTCAACAACAGCGTTGTGAGTTGGTTCCATTAGGGGGTGGTGGTGAAGCTTGGCGGCAGATAAGGTTGGACGTCAAGCAGAGTGTAAAGGCGTGACAGGTTCGACGAACGCCGACAACGGCGCTAGCAACGGGTCGGACGACGGTTGAAGGGCGGTGGAATAAGCCGCGGACGCTAGAAGGTGTCAAAGGTATCAAATGGGTGTGCAGGCGAACGAGGCCCCGTGGTGGGAGGGTGCGGCAGCGTGGTGCGTCCGGTGTATGTCGTGATGTTGGCTTCAGTGTGGGGAAACGCAGACGGGAGGCGAATGGGAAAGGAGGCTGTACAGATGTTGGAGCAGACGGCGTGTTTGACAGTCGAGCAAGGTTCCTTGAGAGAGTCGTGGTGTGTTTGTGCTTCATGATACGAACTCGGACACGATGAGCAGGTTCCCCAATCAGGCAATCAGGCGGGGGATTCGAGGCGCAAGGGTACGTACCGCGCCGGGCCACTCGACCGAGGGGAAGAGCCTCTGTGGCTGCCGGTAACGGGCCGCCATTAGTTAGGTAGCTGCTAACTGGCTGACTAAGGCTAGTGAGCCAACTGACTGTGGCTCTGTGGCTCAGTGGCTCTGAGAGCACTCTCTGCGTTCTAAGACACAGACGCTGCAATATGGATGGAGACATGTCAAGTGTCAAACATCAACCATGAGGTGGCAGGTAGGCAAGTCCCAGCAACCCGAGTACGGCTCGTTTTTGCAGGGTCTTTCCTCTCTGGGAAAGGTCTTGCGGGCATCTTGCGAGCTTTTCTTTTTTGAGAGGCTGGAGCTGTCAGCGTGGCTCAGGGACCCTGGGGCTGGCTGTCAGAGAGTGACTTGTTGCATGGCGCCTGAATGACGCTGTGGCCCACCAACACAACACAGCCAACTCCAACACTATGGGACACTAACACCGCTGCCTGCGCTGCGCTCCCCGAAGTACCTTCCCAATGGAGGGGGTTTGACGTCTTTACGCCTGTCTCTACGTCTCTCTCTCTCTCGTCTCTGCGTCTGTGTTCCTTGTCAGATCGTGTCACATCACCAACCCTCACTGCTGCCACTGAGGAACCGTTGTTGATCTGAGACGGGGGTGGCCCATGGACTGTTTCCTACCTCTACTGCGTAGTATTATCGAACATCCATGGAGCAAACAGCTTAATTCGTCCATTACATCAGCAACCACGGGTCAGCGAAAAGTGTCACTTACACCCGTCGACCAATCACCGAGTCACTGCCGCAACGTCACTCGACCGTCTGAAACTCCCATCGTGGGCCACTGCTTGACAATCGTGCTTCTTTTTTCTCTGCGCACCATATTGCATGGCAACTCTGCTCATCCCTTCTCCCTGCACATGTCACCCTCATACACACCATCAACCACCTTCTCCTATGACTGACTTGCCCTAAACAGTTCGTATCTCGTACACGTATTCAGCCCAACCTCGCATCGCACACACCTACTCTATTCAACCTTGTTTTGCTTCCCTTCCACTCTGTCTCTCACTCTCCCTCTCCTCTCTGTCGGGTCTCGGACGTGCAACCCCTGCAGACATAACTCTATCTACCTCTTGGGCTTTCTCAACCATACATAGTACATACTAACACGACAAGCGTTTTCTACCATACTCTTTAGCGTTCGGTTGACACATCTCTATAGCCTAACTGTAACCTCCCGGAAACACTCTTGGCTCCGGGAAGCCTGCCCGTCACTGACAGAACTCTCTAACCCCCCAACCCCGGTCCCCCGTTCCGACCACCGACGCCTACCTATGCGGTCTCTTCAATACCGGATGTAGTAGTAGTACATGACACCACGTAACGCGCAAGCCACCTTTCGCTGCAGTAGAAGTTGCTTCTGACGTCGTAGGACTGTATGTGCGCCTGTCAGTGGGCCACTTTCGGCCCCGGCAAAGAACGTCTGGGACGCTCGCAAGGGGGCTCCTCCTGGTTTCCACCACACAAATGTGTCCACCCCGGGCGGGCCACACCTAGGCCCCCGGTTGTAAGTCAGTCAATCACTGCCATGACCGAATGGGCCAATGGGATCTGTAAAGCAGGCGGAATCCCGCCGCAGAATGGACGACACACACCCCCTGGGGGCTTCCGGAGGGCTCCATATCACGGTGATCGTCACTCCATGTTTTAGACTCGAGATCCTACTCGACGGTGATGCATCTCTCCTATATCTCATCGTTCATCCCTCGGCGTTTCGATCCGGGTTCTTTTGTTTCTTCACCTTATCTGGTATTCTGTACCGGCTAAATTGACATAAATCCCCTTTTCCATCATCACGACTGCTGGCAGCCTCCTTTTATCTGTTTTTCGTATTTGCTTATTAGAGATACCCAGAACCCTTTCGTTTTAATGTCATCGTAGACGTTTGGTCATCTACCATTTGTCCACTACAATGGATTTCACCATGGAGATGAACAACAAGATATCACCATCAGAAGAGGCCCCGGAGAGGCAACCGCCTCCTCCTCCACCGCCCCGGAACACCTTGACGACCATCATGATAGGCTTCCTGATGGTCTTCTCCATCTTCAGCGTCGGCAGAGAGATCAGGGACCAACTGTACCCGCGTCCCAACATCAACAGCCGGACAGTGACAAAGCGGGAGTTGACCTCGTGGGGCCAGGCCCTCGACTCCATCGTTTCCGCAGAGACTATCGATGCGCTGGGCAGCGACCCCAAGCTGCGACGGACACTGATGTCCATGGTAGACTTCACCGTCGACCTGTCGGATACTCTCGCGGCCCGGTACGAGTCGCCCCAGCTCGACGAGACGAAGCAGCTCCTGCAGGACTACAAGGAGAAGATCAAGAGAAGCCTCGAGGGCTTGGGCGAGGCGGCCGACGAGACAGCAACGGAGGACTCGAGACCGGTCAAGAGACAATTTGGCGGCCTTGGTGACCTCTTCAGCTCGGCGGCCAACGCGTTAACCGGCGGGGCGACAGCACAAGCGAATGGTGCTGCTAGTGCTGCTGACGGAGGTGGTGCAGCTCCCGCTGCCCCTGGACTACCCGGCCTCCCAGGTCTCCCGGGAGCTCCTGCTCCTGGAGGAGGTGCAGGAGGTGGAGGTGGTGGTCTTCCTGGCCTCCCGGGACTTCCAGGACTTCCAGGAGCAGGTGGCGGCGCAGGCGGAGCCGGTGGTGACATCGGCGGCATCCTCTCACCCCTTCTCCAGCCCCTGAAAGACGGCCTCTCCAACATCGGCAACTCCCTCGTCAAGAACCTCGACGGTCCCGCCATGTTCCTCGGCATCGGCGTCGGCGCCGGCGCAGCCCAGGGCCTCAACCTCTCCTCGCAGGAGAAGACGATGGCCATCGCCGCCAAGGTAGCCGCGGACAACAAGATGGAAGCCACCGGCCTCAACCCAGCGATACAGAACCTCGGCGTCGGGCTCACCTCCACGCTCATCGGCTCCGTCGACATCTCCAGCCTCGGCGGCAACGTGACGAACCAGCTGCAGCCCATCGCCATGTCCCTCGCGCAGGGCCTCGGCAACGGCACCGTCGCCGGCCTCAAGCTCAACGCCAACGCGGCCGTCAGCCTCGAGCCCGTCAACGACTCCAGCATCCCCAACGTCATCGGCACCTTCGGCTTCGGGCTAACAAAGTCCGTCACCTCCAACCTCGACCTCAACTCGCTCTTCAACCAGGCCAGCAACCCCAACACCACGCGGACCATCATGCGCATCCTCCCCGCGGCGGCGTCCGGGTTCGGTAAGGGGCTGGGCCAGGGCGCGACGGTAGGCCTGGGGCTGCAGCCCGACGCGGCGATCCCGATGCAGCAGATGCCTGACGGGCAGATCGACTTTGGCGGCATCTCGCAGACCTTCGCCAAGGGGCTGACGAGCAGCTTCCTGCAGAACGGCACGGCGACGGAGCTGGTGAACAAGCTCGGCTCTTCGATGAACATGCAGAAGAACGGTGGCGGCATCCCCTCCACGATCGACTTCAATGGGCAAAAGATTGAGGTTTCCAAGGTCGCGCAGGGCTTCGCTCGCGGGTTCCTCCAGGGGGCGGGCGACGCGATCCAGGGGATGGGCGGCGTGGACTCCCTCATCAAGGGCAACGCGACGATGCCGGCCAACGGGTTGCCTGACTCCAAGGTCCAGTTCGACGACTCTCTGGGTGGAGCGGCCAGCGGGTTTGGTGTTGGTATTGGGGGACAGGGTGTTCTTGTCGTCTCTGCCCTCATCGCGAACCCCCAAGGCACGCCGATGCCTCAAGCGTCGACACCAGCACAAGGAGGAGCGCCGGCACCCGCAGCGCCAGCAGCGACGCCGAGTAACCCTCCCCAGCGCCGTGGACTTGGTCTCGTCCCGCGCCAGGACAACCAGAACGTGCCTCCCGTGGTGTCCGTCAACACGACGAACGGCTTCAACCTCTCCGTAGTGATCAATGCGCAAACGATCTCGATGGCGGCGCAGGCAGGCGTGAATGCCTTGACATGTCAAGGTGTCGGCGGTCTGGGACTCGTCTTCCTGGGTCTGTTGAAGAGCAAGACTGTCG